TCACGCCTGTAATTCCGGCTACTTGGAAGGCTGAGGCGGAAGGATCGCCGGAGCCCAGCGGGTCGAGGTTGTGGGGGCCCGGAGTGGCCACTGCACTCCAGTCTGGGCGACAGAGTGAGACTCCAACTCAAAAAAAAAAAAAAAAAAGTTTTTCCCAACCTGGTCAATATAATGAGATCCCATCTTTCAGAAAAAAAAAGGCTGGGTGTGAGGGCATAGACCTAGCTACTTAGGAGGCCGAGGTGGGAAGATTGCTTGAGCCTAGGAGCTAAAGACCTACCTAGGCAACATAGCAAGATCTTGTCCCTAGAAAAAAGAAAAAGAAAATTAGCCAGACGGCATGTGCCTGTCAGCAACTCAGGAGGCTGGGGCGGAAGGATCACTTGAGCTCAGGAGGTGGAGGCTGCAGTGAGCTGTGAGAACATGCCACTGTACTCCTGCCTGGGTGACAGAGTGAGAGACCCCAACACACACACAGAGATACAGACACACACACAGAAAGAAAAAAAATGACCAAATTAAAAAAACAGAAGGAACCATCCGCCTGTCTTTGGGCCTGGCAAAACGTCTGCTGGGGATTTACTGAGAAACTAATCAGAGGTAGACAAAGAATGATCATCACAGTGTTACCTTTAATTTAATTTAATTTAATTAATTTATATTTTTGGGTATTGGAGTCTTACTCTGTCGCCCAGACTGGAGTGCAGTGGCCATTCCCACCACCGCAGCATTGACCTGCTGGGCTCAGGCGATTCTTCCGCTTCAGCCTTCCAAGTAGCTGAAACTACAGGTGTATGCTACCACGCCCGGCTAATTTTTTGATTTATTGTAGAGATGAGGCCTTGCCAAGTTGCCCAGGCTGGTCTCGAACCCATGGGCTCAGGAAATCCTCTCACCTCAGCCTCCCAAAGTGCTGGGATTATAGGCGTGAGCCACTGTGCCCAGCCACCTTTAATTTTAAAAAATGGCCGGACGTGGTGGCTCAGCCTGTAATCCCAGCACTTTGGGAGGCTGTGGTGAAAGGGGTCGAGACCTGCCTGGCAACTTGGCAAGATCTCGTCTCTACAGTAATTCATAAAAAGTAGCCAGGCATGGTGGCGTATGTCTGTAGTTTCAGCTACTCGGAAGGCTGAGGCGGAAGGATTGCCTAAGCACAGCAGGTCGAGGCTGAGGTGGCCGTGAGTGTGCCACTGCACTACAGCCTGGGTGACAAGAGTGAGACTCCAACTCAAAAAAACTTTAAACAAAAAAAAAAGTGTCTTAGCAAGTAGGTGTTAAATAAAATCTTGGTACATGTTGGCTAGTACATAATAGGTGCTCAGTTTGTTGACTAAATAGTGACTTGTGTGTTCATTACATCTAATGATTATAGAACCATTAAAAGTTGTATAATAGGCTGGGCACGGTGGCTCAAGCCTATAATCCCAGCACTTTGGGAGGCCGAGGCAAGAGGATTGCCTGAGCCCACAGGTTCGAGACCAGCCTGTGCAATATGATGACACCTCATCTCTACAATAAATAAATAAATAAATTAGCTGGGTGTTGTAGCGCACACCTGTAGTTCCGGCTACTTAGAAGGCTGAGGTGGAAGGATCGCCAGCGCCCAGCAAGCGGAGGCTGTGGTGGCCGTGAACGTGCCACTGCACTCCAACCTGGGCAACGGAGTGAGACTCCAACTCAGAAAAAAATGGTTGTGTTATCGAGCATTTTATGGCACATAAAATTGGTTGCTGCATTGCCACATTTAACAAAAGGCATGGTAAAGCTTTGTGTTCAGTACAAGCCCATTTTTGTAAGGCAAGATTATGTGAGCGTGTGTGTCTGTGCACTGAACACACAAAACATAGCCCTCATGCTTTGTGGAAAGTATGTTGACAGCAGACGCTTGGGAAGTGACTGAACAGCCCATCCTGCCACGTTCCTGCAGCCAGGGAGAGTTGGTTCGTGTGAGGACATTAGGCAGGAGCCATTCTCTGTCCCTTGCCCCACTGCTGTACCTGCCATCTTTTGATAGACTGTCACCTACTTATCTGTTATGCTCATTACTGTTGCCTGTCTCCTCTGATGAGAATGTGAGTTCTGTGGGGGAAGGATTTGTTCACCGATGGAGCCCAAGCACTTTGAGCAGTGCCTGGTACATAACCAGTGCCCAACAGTGTGTGTTGAATGACTGAATGAACTCACAGAGCCATTATCAAACACTGAGTTGTAGACCCACTTGGGGGAAGGGGTCTCATCAGGGTGTTTCATTTGTGAAAGTGCCCAGAGCTGATGTCACCATTTTCCAGTGCAGATCCTGAGAGTAGCAGCATAGGATAGGAAACCCTGTGCCCAGGTTCTGAAGACAGCTCAAGATGGGCAGTCTGAGCCCCCAAATATCTGGTATTTTCCAGACTTGTTTAGTGTCTGGGCCGCTTAACCATGCTACAAAGACATTTTTTAAACAAAAAATAACTTCAACTCTTCTTTTAGCTAAAACAACAAACATAGCATTTAAAAATCTACATAAAATTGGCTGAGCACAGTGGCCTACGCCTGTAATCCTAACATTTTTGGGAGGCTGAGGCAGGAGGATAACGTGAGGCCAGGCATTTGAGACCAATCTGGGCAACAGAGTGAGACCTCATCTCTACAAAAAACATATTTTTAATAACAACAACAAAAGGCAAGAAAATAGCCCTCCACTCTGAAAATCACTATAGTGCACAATGTCTCATACATTTTTCTGTATTCTTTTTTTTTTTGAATCGGAGTCTCACTCTGTCACCCAGACTGGAGTGCAGTGGCCGCTCCCAGCCACCGCAACCTCGACCCGCTGGGCTCCGGCAATCCTTCCGCTTCAGCCTTCCAAGGAGCTGGAACTACAGGCGCGCGCTACCACGCCCGGCTATTTTTTTTTTTTTTTATTTATTGTAGAGATGAGGTCTCGCCCAGTTGCCCAGGCGGGTCTCAAACCCGCGGGCTCAGGCAATCCACTCACCTCAGCCTCCCATGGCGCAGGATTACAGACTGAGCCACCGAGCCTGGCTTCCTTTTTTTTTTTTTGAGTTGGAGTCTCACTCTGTTGCCCAGGCTGGAGTGCAGCGGCACACTCACAGCCACTCCAGCATCGACGTACTGAGCTCCGGCGATCCTTCCGCCTCAGCCTTCCATGTAGCCGGACCCACAGGCGTGCGCTACCACACCCGGCTAATTTTTTGATGTATTGTAGAGACGAGGTCTCACCAAGTTGCCTGGGCTGGTCTCGAACCCGTGGGCTCAGGCAATCCACTCGTCTTGGCCTTCCAAAGTGCTGGGATTACAGGCTGAGCCACTGAGTCCGGCCTATTCTTCAATTTTATTTAATTAATTAATTAATTTATTTATTTTGGAGTTGGAGTCTCACTCTGTCACCCAGGCTGGCGTGCAGTGGCATGCTCATGGCCACCATAGCCTTGACCTGCTGTGCTCAGGTGATCCTTCCCCTCAGTCTTCCAAATAGGTGGAACTCCAGGAGCACACCACCATGCCTGGCTAATTGTTTTTTTTTTTTGAGTGGGAGTCTCACTCTGTCGCCCAGACTGGAGTGCAGTGGCCGCTCCCGGCCACCGCAGCCTCGACCTGCTGGGCTCCGGCGATCCTTCCGCCTCAGCCTTCCCAGTAGCTGGAATTACAGGCATGCGCTACCACGCCCGGCTGATTTTTGGATTTATTGTAGAGATGAGGTCTCGCTGCCCAGGCGGGTCTCGAACCCGCGGGCTCAGGCCATCCACTCACCTCAGCCTCCCCAAGGCGCAGGATGACAGGCTGAGCCACCGAGCCCGGCTATATTCTTCATTTTTAAAGAACACATTTGACGGACTACTGTGTGACGTATTGATGGCTTTGAATCCCATCTTATGGTATCTGACCTCATTTTTCTTGAAGGATTTCATTTTGGAACACTACAGTGAAGACAGCTTTTTATATGAAGATGAAATCGCGGATCTTATGGATCTGAGACAGGTGAGCTTTTGTACGCAGCAGAGAAGGGAGGTGGCCACTCACGCCTGAGTCTTAAGGGCATCCAAACGCCGCACACGTGTGGCTGGTAGGCTTGAGGAGGGCGCAGGGGCTGGGCCTGTTGGAATCCAGGATCCCAGGCCCTTCTGACCCCTCCCAGCTCTTGGCACCGGCCTTGGAGCCCACATACCTCAGAGACAGCGAGAGGCCTTAGTGTGTGCAGGGCACTTCCCGGGACGGGCTGCCTCCCGGGTCCTGGTCCGTTCACCCCCTCTGCGGCCTTTTTCCTTCAGGCGTGTCGGACGCCCAGCCGGGACGAGGCTGGGGTGGAGCTGCTGATGAGCTACTTCATCCAGCTGGGTTTTGTGGAGACGCGATTCTTCCCACCCACCCAGCAGATGGGGCTTCTGTTCACGTGGTAGGTACCTGAGGTCGCCTTGGGGCTCTGTCTGCCCCGGCAGCCTCCGTCTGGGAGTGCTGCAGGCGCCACGGTGCCCCTGTGTGTCGCAGCGCCCTTCCCGAGGTCTTGGCGTTTATACAGGGGCATATGGAGCAAGGCCGATAAATTGATATTTCTTTAAGAAGGGACTCTGAGGGGAGACGGCTCCGGCAGACCGTGGTTTCTTGCTTCTCAGGACTCGTGAGCCTAGAAGAGGCGTTTTTCTCATGTTCATTGTCTTGTTGCTGAAACACGGGGGCTCTGAGGTGGAACTAACCAGAAGCCAGATTCTTGTCCCAGGTTGGATGAATGAGAGTGAGAGAGTGTGTGAGTGTCTGTGTGTGTGTGTGTGTGTGTGAGAGAGAGAGAGAGAGAGAGAGAGAGAGAGAGAGAGTGAGAGAGAGAATTAGGTTTTGTCCCAATGAGACAAGACCAGCAAACAGAAAAAGATCAGATTTCTCTTCTGAAATGGAGTCTCACTATGTTGCCCAGCCTGGACTTGAACTCCCAGGCTCAAGTGGTGCTCCCACCTCAGCTTCCTGAGTAGCTGAGATTATAAGCATGTGCCACCGTACCCAGGTTAGGTCAGATTTTTAAAAATGAAGCAGAGCATTTTATTCTTCTTCCACATTTGTATTTTCTTTTTTTTTTTTGAGTTGGAGTCTCACTTGGTCGCCCAGAATGGAGCACAGTGGCCGCTCCCGGCCCCCGCAGCCTCGACCTGCTGGGCTGCAGCGATCCTTCCGCCTCAGCCTTCCAAGTAGCTGGAATTACAGGCATGCGCTACCACGCCCGGCTGATTTTTTGATTTATTGTAGAGATGAGGTCTCGCCAAGTTGCCTGGGTGGGTTTCGAACCCGCGGGCTCAGGCAATCCACTCACCTCGGCCTCCCAAAGCATGGGATGACAGGTGAGCCGCCAAGCCGGCTCACAAAGTAGTTTGCTCTGAAAATCCTCTGTGCCCTGCCTGTCCCCTCTCCCCTCCCCCCATCTTCTGGAAATGATTGATCTTTTTAGTCTCCATGCTTTTGCCTTTTCCAGAATGTTCAAATCATAGTTGAAAGTATGCTATGCAGTCAGGATATGGCATTTTTAGATTGTCTTCTTTCTCTTAATCATATGTCACTTAGTAATAAGTTTCCTCTGTGTCTTTTCATGGCTTGTGAGCTCATTTCCAGCTTTTTAGTGCTAAGATTCTGTTGCCTGCATGTACCACGGTTTGTTTATCCAGTTACTGCCGAGGGACATCTTAGTGGAGAAGCCTTATGTTTGTGTGGCTGTGGGGGTTTCTTCAGTCCAGTCAGACCCATCATCTTGCTTGGAAACGAAAGCCTCATTGCGTGTGCATCTTGGGATTTTATTTAAGAAATGAATTGTGTCCGTCTGCACCCAGAAGGGCATTAACTAGCCAAGTCCTCTGTGTTCCTCGACTGTGCTTCTCTTCAACAGGTATGACTCCCTCACCGGGGTACCGGTCAGCCAGCAGAACTTGCTGCTGGAGAAGGCCAGTGTCCTGTTTAACACCGGAGCCCTTTACACCCAGATCGGGACCCGCTGCAATCGGCAGACTCAGGCTGGGCTGGAGAGTGCTGTGGACGCCTTTCAGAGAGCCGCAGGTGTGTCTCCGCGAGGTCCGGACAGTGTGGGCCCCTCCAGGAGGCACCGGGGTCCCCCAGCTGCAGAGGGTCTGCGGGTTCTCCTCACACCCACACTTGGCCTCACAGGCCTGAAAAGGCCAGGCCGGTTTCCAGCACTGGGGTGACTTCCCATTGCGAGGCTTGCTTAGTGGTTCACACCATGTGTCATCTCAGTCTGGGATGGCTTGTATACACAGTGAGTCCTGGTTAACGATTAATCTTTTCTAATCGAGCGGGTCCAAGGATGGCAGTGGATAGTTGTTTCTTTCAACACTGTGCTGAAGAACAGAACTTTTCCCAGGTAGTGACAAGGTTGGCTTGGTTTCCCATCTGCGGCATCCTTTATCAGGGTGCCTCCCAGCCGTTTATCAAAGGATGCCCTCAAGGGATGCTGGTAGTTCTGTCCCCTTCTTCTGGGATTTTCAAATGCTTTTCCCATTTTAACCTCTTTCCCCCAGCCAGTTACCCATGAAACTCACCCTAGTATGAGAACTAGAAGCAGGGTGCAGGAGAAGAGCAGCTTAGTGCCACCTGCAGAGGACTGGGGTCACGGGGCCCGTGCCAGGGGTGAGCCTGGCTTGCCTCACGTGTGTGCCTGAGGGCGCTGCGATCTCCTCTCCAGCAGGGCCTGTGTCCGGACTCAGAGTGGAGATGGCGGTCAAGAGCAGCGGCAGTGCAGGCTGTGGTGTGGCCCCACACTGGGTCAGGAGTGTGTGGCGGGCTTTGATCTACTTTGATCTGCTTTAGGGTGTGATCCCTTCCCACCCAAACAGAAGCTTTGTGGAGATCTCACTTTGCATGTCTGTGGAGAGCCACAGCTTTGCCACTTTGACTCCTCATGGGATTTCTTGTGTTAAATTGACTGGTCCCTTGAGATGCAATGATATGCTAAGATTCCAAGTGGGAGTTAATCTCTTTGCCTGTAAATCTTTCTCTGGGCTTGTCTTTCTTTTCAGGAATCTTAAGCAGGCACACTGGTGACCTGTCTCCAGGATTACAGTTAGAGACAACATGCAGCTTGAGGACAGTGGGGAGTGTGAGGGAACCCCTGGGGAAGCAAGCCCGGCTCACAGCAGGTGCTGGCTTCCTGCAGGGCTTCTTGCTTGGCAACAAAGCAAGAGGAACCAGTTGGGTGAGATTCATGGCAGAGGTTATATTTCAGCTCTGGATTGTCAGTTCGTGCTTGTGACAGTTAATTTTCTCAAGTATAAATAAGTCAGCAGAGGCTACAGCCTGGATATTGCCATTGGATTGGCTGACATGATCTTTCTTAAGGTCCTGGGGAAATGCCCTGGATTTCCGAATGATCCAGGTCTTATGTTGTGAGTGTGTCCCCTGGGACCCCCCCCTTCTGCTTTTACCTTCATGAGATGCCTAGTGGTGGGTGGAGTTTCTTAAAATTGTTCCAGGTGAGACAGGAGGGGAAGGGAGGGGAGCCAGCTAGTTTCTTCCCTTAATACGGATGTAAATGTGCCAGAAGAGAATGCAGTTTTTAAAAAGTGTGGTAAAATATACACAAATATAAAAGTTACCATTGTAACTATTTTTTATTTTGATAAAATACACATAGCATAAAATACCGCTGTAACCGTTTTTAAGTGTGCCTTCACTGGCATTAAGTACATTCATGTGGCTATGCAGCCATCCTGCTTTCCATGTGCAGAACTGTGTCATCATTCAGACTGAAACTCAGTTCTCATTAAACAATAACCTCCATCCTCCCTTCCTTCTGCCCCTGGTGACCTTTATTCTTCTTTCTGTTTTTATGAATTTGACTGTTCAGGTACCTCATCTAAACAGAATCATACACTCTTTGTCTTTTTATGTCAGGCTTAGTTCGCGTAGCATAGTATCTTTATTTATATTGTGGTATGTGTCAAAATTTTGTTCCTTTTTAAGGCTGGAAAATATCCCATTGTATGGTATCTTGCATTGTGTTTATCCGTTCTTCCACTGACAGACATTTGGGTGGTTTCCACTTTCTGACTTTTGTGAATAAAGCTGCTATGAGCCTGGGAGTGGAATTGCTGGATCATATGGCAATTGAGAATCAAAAATTTTAAGATGCTGTAGGACATGACTTTTTGGGTTTTTTGCTTCTGTCATTCTCTATAGCAACGTAGAGAAGTAAATATGATCCCCAGCTAATGAGCAAACATTTTACACTTTCAGGTGTTCTAAGTTACCTGAAGGAGACGTTTACCCACACTCCAAGTTACGACATGAGCCCGGCCATGCTTGGTGTGCTCGTCAAAATGATGCTCGCACAAGCCCAGGAAAGCGTGTTTGAGAAGATCAGCCTTTCTGGGATCCGGAACGAATTCTTCATGTTGGTGAAGGTGGCTCAGGAGGCTGCCAAGGTAAGAGTCTGGTCCTGTGGCTTTTTGGGGGGCTGGTGCAGGATATGTTGGTGCAGGTGCTCTGGGAGCAGTGGGGGCTTCCCACACCAACCTGCCCAGGACTTGGCAGTGTGCCCGCTCTGGCCCTGACTGTTGGCTCGAATTTTCTTGGCAAGTGTCAGTGTTTCAGATACGGATCACTGACTCAATCTGCAGCGTAGCCTATAAACCCGCATAATGACATCTGCCTGATGCCCCCCTGTAAACTCTGACGCAGACAGCACGGGGAGTTTCCTGGAGTTGCTCCACATTCGGGAGCGGCCTCTGGCAGGTGCCGCGACGTAGAAGAAAGGGCTTTTTTCTGTGGTTGGGTTCATGAGGGGCCTGTGCCGGCTGCCCTTTCCAGTGCCTCCTCTGTTTCAGGTGGGAGAGGTGTACCAGCAGCTGCACACAGCCATGAGCCAGGCGCCGGTGAAAGAGAATGTCCCCTACTCCTGGGCCAGCCTGGCCTGTGTGAAGGCCCACCACTACGAGGCCTTGGCCCACTACTTTACCGCCACCCTCCTCATCGACCACCGGCGTAAGACTCAGGGCTCGGGAGTTTGGTCAGGTGGTCTGGCTGCTTGGGGAACTCTGAGCTTAGTGTGACCTGCCTGCCCGTCCTGGAGATGCTCATAGGAAGAGGATGGGAAAGGCACATTGACCCAGACAGCTGTCCCATAGGCCAGGGTAGGGTTAGGGGTTATAAACTCTTTCCGGGGGCAGGGGAGTGGGAAGAGGGGAGAGGGGGCGTCTTTAGTTCTGCCTGGGAACAAGTAGATGACTTTTTTACCTGGAACCTAGAATCTAAGGGGATGCAGGAGACTCAGTGACCAAGACAGGTAATGTTTTAAAAGATTAAAAAATAACACAAAAATATCTGTGATGATTGAAATTTCAACTGGAGGCAGGGATCAGTAACAGATCTGTGCTGAGCCATGTTGGAGCCTGAGGCAAGAAGAGGGTTTCCATTTCTTTTTCACGGGCTTTTTTACGTTCATTTTGATATTTTAAACATTGCCTTAATATATTATATATTTTGTTTGCTGAATTTTTGTCACCCGCTTAAATGTGGAACCTCAGGCAAGTGCCCCACTTTCCTCACCCTAGTGCTGACTTTGATCTAGAAGGTGGGTGGGGTTTTTGAAGTAATGAGTACTAATCAAGGCAGCCCTCAGAATAATTAGAAGGACAGCCTCTGGAGCCAGACTGCTTGGATTCCCGTCTCAGCTCTGCCAATAAGTAGCTGTTACTGGCAAGTCACGGAGGCTCTGTGCCTCAGTTTTCTCGCCTGCAAAATGGGTATACGTAGAGACCTTCCCTCCAGGGCTGTGACGAAAACTAAATGCCTGTGTGCAAAGCCAAATAGGGTCTTGTATATCGTGGGCTCTCTGAAAGTGTTAGCTGCTACTGGGAGTGTTACAGAGTCTATTAGGTAGAACAAGATATGGAAACAAATAGAAATGCTGTCTAGTGCCTCGCAGTTGGTGTAGAGACACAAACGAGGGGGCAGGTAGACTCCTCGGTGCAGTCACAGCTGGTTTTGCAAAGATGGTGACATCTGAGTTGGACTTTTCCAGCTGAACTAGGAGAGACAGCACAGCTGAGAGCAAGTAAAGTATCTGAGCACAGGAACAGGGGCCGAGAGGGTTTGCAGCTCCGAGAGGAGGACACGTGCCAGGAAGGGCGATGCTGAAGCCGAGGGGCCCCGCTGCAGGCGTGGAGACCCCCAGAGGTGTGCAGGCTGGGCAGTGACAGGGTCTGGGCTATGCTAGAAGGGTCTGTGTGGCGTGTGACTTGGAGGAGGTGGCATCTGGGGACTCAGGGACCAAATCGGGGCCCCTTGGAGTGTGGCTGGCCTCAGTGAGCAAAAGTTTGGGGGGCGATGGCCTGGGGTGTCCTGGGGCAGAAGACCTGGGATCCTGCATTCCTTGTAAAACTTCGGAAGAAAGGACGCTGAGATGTGGTTGCATTCTCTATGCGGGTCTGTGGCCATATCCACGAGAGGGGCTTTAACCTGTGTTGCTCACTGCAGTGAAGCCTGGTGCCGATGTGGACCACCAAGAGAAGTGCCTGTCCCAGCTCTATGACTGCATGCCAGAGGGGCTGACGCCTTTGGCCACACTGAAAAATGACCAGCAGCGCCGACTGCCACCCGGCTCCTGGAACTGTGGCCCCCTTGGTGCCAAGCTGGTCATGCTCACAGACTTCTGCAGCCAACCCGGCTCCTGGAACTGTGGCCCCCTTGGTGCCAAGCTGGTCATGCTCACAGACTTCTGCAGACAGGTCCCCGAGGAAGGGCTTGGAAGAGTAGGGTGTCCCAAGTCATGGTGAGGTGCAGTCCTCCAGCCTCCAGCCTCAGAGGGCTTCCAAGGCTGTGCTCTCACAGCTTCCAAGAGCACCCAGCACTCCATGGAGCCAGGGCTTGACGCTTGCCCTTCACGCTAGCGGTCCATGGGGTGGGCCTTCGCCAGCCTCATGGGGAAGACAACATTTGCTGATTTTCTTGTGTCACAGCTTAATCACCAAGAGCAAGGCGATGACGTGTCTTGGTTTGGTCTCTGCCACGGCTCAGTGTGAATCTCTCTTCCTGTGTGCAGACGTGACTTTCTCTGCCACCCACACCTGCCCTTTACCCACTCGCCTGTGCACAGACCCATTTTTCCCATTTCAGAGAGGGCAGTGCCATGCTCCAGTGCTTAGGCTCCCTCTCCGCTCTAGTCTTTCTTACCCACCCTACATTTGATTTGCAAGTCCCTTTGGCTATCCCTAAAACTCATACCCCAAACCTGATCACTTCTTACCCTACCACACATATATCATGCTTACCTAACCAACACCGACTTGCTCAATCCTTGCAACCCTCTGAGATGGGTCCGGTGTGATCCCCGTCATGCATTTGGGGAAGCGGAGGCCAGAGAGGTCATGCAGACTGCCCTGCCCATGGCTGGTCTCCTGTCTTCCCGTAGCTCTTTCCCAGGCTGGTCACGTGGGTCAGATCCCGTCAGCCTTCTGTTCATACCGTGATGGGCTCCGCCCCACCCAGAGCAGGAGAGTCCTCACTGCAGTCGTGAGGTCGCCCCGCGCCATTCCGGCCTCCTTCCCTCCCCTTCTCTCCCACCCTCACTCCCTCTGGCAACACCCCCAGCTCCTTGTTGCCTTTTTTTTCCCCTTTTGAGCTGAGCCTCACTCCGTCGCCCAGCCTGGAGTGCAGCGGCCGCTCCCGGCAACCGCAGCCTCGACCTGCTGGGCTCCGGCGAGCCTTCCGCCTCAGCCTTTCGAGTAGCTGGAACTGCAGGCGTGCGCTACCACGCCCGGATGATTTTTGATTTATTGTAGAGATGAGGTTGCACCAAGCTGCCCGGGCGGGTCTTGAACCCGCGGGCTCAGGCAGTTCACTCAGCTCGGCCTCCCAAGGCGCGGGATCGCAGGCTGAGCCACCGAGCCCGGCTCCTTGTTGCCCTTTAACACGTAAGCCCACGCCTGCCCTACGATCGTGGTACTTGCTGCTCCTTCGCTTCCTCGGGGCTTTGCTCAAAAGTGACCTGATCAGAAAGCCTTCCTTTGTCATCCATCCTAGAAGAATCTTCTCTCACCACATCCACCGGCCCCGCTTTATTTCTCTCCGCACCATCCACGACACATTGCTCTGCTCTGTCTTCGGCCACTATGTGTTCACTCTACGAATTCGAGGGCCATTTTTTCTTCATTGCTTTACTTCTAATGCCTAGAACATTCAGCAAATATTTGCTGAGTGGCTACAAGTGAGATTACACATGCTTACGTCATCTAGGCAGGTCCTTTCGAAGACGGAGCGTCCACCCTCTCGGGCTGGTCCTCGGGGCCCTCGGGCCCTCCTCGTGTGCGCGCGTGTCACGCGGGTGGTGGTGTTCCTGTCTGCAGGAAAGTCCCACTTGCGCAGAGCCGTCGGCCACCACGAGGAGTCCGTGAGGGAGGCCAGCCTGTGCAAGAAGCTGCGCGACATTGAGGTGCTGCAGGAGGTGCTGGCCGCCGCCCACCAGCGCTCCCGGCTCAAGTATGCCCAGCACCAGGAGGACGATGATCTCCTGAACTTGATCGACACCCCCAGCATTGTGGGTGAGTGACAGGGTGCCTGTGGCATGGACAGAGTGTGCCCGGCCTGAGAGGAACGGGCACTCGGGTCGACACAGCCGGTCAGCTCAGCCTGCAAGCCCTGGCTGGGTGCCGGGCAGCCTGCCCAGGGGAGGGGCTGAGGTGCTGCTCTCACCCTGGAGTTTCCATCGCCCGCTTCTCAGATCCGGGGGGGACTCCTTATGGCCTTTATCCTCGGCGACCCCTTTGCAGCACGACTCCCCCCGCCCCCTTGACACTCCTCCCTTGATGTCGGAGTGCCTGCTGTCTTGGTTCTTGGTTCTTACGTCCCTGAGCCCTCCTTCCCCAACCCCTGCGCTGACTGTTCTTCTGGCCCAGTCCCGCCAACCCTCCCGTCGTTTTCTAGGGATCTCCACTCTGACCTGCTTTCTCCAGACCTCTTTCCATCAAGTCTGACGACCTTCCTTGGGGTTTCAGCCGTCACCTCTGGTCAGGAGACCCTGGGAACTTTACCTCTGGCCTTGACATCTCTGCTAGGCGTGCACCCACCCCGTTTCCAGCTGCCTTCTGGAAACTGCGCTTTGCTGTCTGTCGTTTGCCTCTCTCCACAGGGCATATGCCAGATCGTCATCATTCCCCCTCCTAGGCTTGCTTTCCCCACTTTTGTCTCCAGCTCCTCACCCACATTTCTGAACACCTCCTGGGCATTCTCCTAGGCTGTCATGGGTTCAGGGACAGAGAAGTGAACCGAACAGTTGTGGCTGTCCTCGGGGAGGCAGTGGCTGCCTCTGCCCAGGCGGGTGGGAACAGGAGGTTCTTCCCAAGAGGTAGCTTTATGGTGACGAACGAACGACCAGGACCCTTTGGGGATCCAGGGGCCGAGGACGCCGCGTGGCCCAATAGAGGGAGCCCCCTTTGTCTGTGCTCCCTCGCCCTACTTCCTACACCTGTCTGTCGCTTCTGGAGTTCCATCCCAGTTTTCAGGGATCAGTCCCTTAGAGACAGGGCTCCACTCAAGCTAGGGCTCTGCGCTCCTCTCTAGTAATGTTAGCTGGTTTCTGCTCAGCATTCGGGGTCTGCCAGGCAACGGTGAGCACCGTATGTCTGCAGAGTCTCAGCCACCCCCCTCCAACGCTATGAGGGAGGCACCAGTGTCACCCTCATGTGAAAGAGGAAGAAATAAAGGCTCAGGGAGATCCATTTCTTGCCCCCGGTGACCGGGCTGGTAGCTGGAAGCAGGGTGGTGCTTAGGGATCTCCTTGCAGGGACACTGTTGTCACTTCTCTGTCCAGGAGGTAGAGACTTGAACTCAAGGAGGGGAGAAGGCCACGCAGCTGCCGTGGTGGCGGCAGCGCTTTTCTCGCAGACGGGTGTGCTGTCTAGCCCAGCACTGTGTTCAGTGGCTTGCAAGAAGCCACAGGGTTACCTTGCAGATCGAGTGGCGTGATCAACCTGGGAGTGCCCCTCATCCTTCCCTAGATCATCGTTTAATTCTGTCGTTCATGTACACTTAGCCTGCCCTAGGATCCTTTGTTAGAAACTGACTAGCCTAATGGCAGCCTGCCGTGAAGAGGCAGGTGGAGATTTGTAGCTAGCAGGGGTCATGTTCTGGCAAACCTGCTTCTCACTGTGAGGTCCTCACATCATACGTTCATGCGTTATTATTATTAACAGAAAGCATAGTACCCCCAGGACTGTACTGAGAAACGTAGAACTTCCATAAGCAGCATCCAAAACACAGATCACTCCTCAGTAGGCTTTTGTGAATGACAAAGCAAGTGCATTGGGGTATCAGCAAGCTCCTTGCAGGTGGAAAACATGTCTGGTCATCACTACTCTTTGGCAGCCCTGGAAGAGTAGGTGCCCAGGTGGCAGGTACAGTGCGCCCTTGGCCCAAGGTCAAGCAGGATTCCCTCTTCTGTGCTACTTGTCTAAGCCAAGGGGAAAGACAGGTGATGCGGAGAACGTGTTGCTTGCCTTGAGTGAGAAAACTGAGAATCTTGAGTTTTCAAGGATCACTTTCAATTACAGAAACGTTTATTCTTTAATTTTTAATTTTCCTTTCTAGCTAAAACTGAGCAAGAGGTTGAAATGATATTGCCCCAGTTCTCCAAGTTGACAGTGACGGACTTCTTCCAGAAGCTGGTATGTTGGATGCTTATTTCATAAATGACCTAAGGGGACAGCTTTTACATTTTGCAAATGTGTTGTCTTAGTCCACTGGGGCTGCTGTAATAAATATCAGAAACCGGAGGGCTTGTAAATAGCAGAAATTTATTTCTCACCGTCCTAGGGGCTGGGAAGTACAAGATCAAGGGACTGGCAGCTTCAGCATCTGGTGAGGGCCTTTTTTCTGATTCATAGGTGACACCTCACTGTGTCCTCATATGGCAGAGGAAGTGAATGAGCTCTCCTGGGCCTGTTTTCTAAGGGCCTGACTCCTGTTCTTGAGGGCTGTGCCCACACGCCCTGATCACGTCGCCTCTCAAAAGGCTCCGCCTCCCAGTAACAACACTGATGATTAGGTTTCAACATACAGATTTTTTTGGAGGAGGGGGACACAAATCTTTGGAACATAGCCTTTTTAAAAAGTTGTTTTTAGGGCAACCCCTTCGGGTCCCCTCCCACTGTGGGGGTGTTTCTGTCCTCTCAATAAATTCTGCTTTCTCAAAAAAAAGTTGTTTTTAGGTATTTTAGGTTTTTTGTATTAGAGATTTTTATTTAAGATAATTGTAATTAAGGTAACTTATAAAAGATAATTTAAAAAATATATAGGATATGTTAGCAAAAAGGCAATTAATTAATGTTCTTATATGAATGCTGTGGCACATATTACCCCAGATGGTATCATTTGTCTCTGAACAAGCCAAGTGAGGTCTTCAGGTACAGCAGGCAAGATTCCCTCTAGGTCTCAAATGTCTGATTCAGCCTTCAAATCCTATATCTAATGGCGCTGTCTTCCAAAGGGCCCATTGTCTGTTTTTTCGGCTAACAAGAGGTGGACACCCCCTCGAAGCATTCACTTCACTGCAGAAGAAGGGGACCTGGGGTTCACCTTGCGAGGGAACGCTCCAGTCCAGGTCCACTTCCTGGACCCTTACTGCTCTGCCGCGGTAAGCATGCCCCCTCTATGTCAGAAACAAAACTCACTGGCAGCTGTCAGAGCAAGTGGCTCAAACACATATGCCTGGGCGATCACAACTGAGGGTGGGTTCACCTACGTCAAAGACCTGACTTTATGTGAAAGGCCTCACGGGTGCGACATGCCCAAAGAAAAGGATTTTCTTTTGTTCTCTTGGGGCGAACTGACACAAATATCTGTCTTTTGTCAGTGGGTCTGGGAACTGATTCAGGATTTGAGTGAGCAAAACGTTGACCTTTATTTAAACAAACTTCTGTAGCTGGCAGGAGCCAAGGAAGGAGATTATATTGTTTCCATTCACGCGGCGGATTGTAAGTGGCTGACGGTGAGCGAGGTTATGAAACTGCTCAAAAGCTTTGGTGAGGACGAGATCGAGATGAAGGTTGTCAGCCTCCTGGACTCCACATCGTCCATGGTGAGCACGGACACCCTCCCCCCGGGCTGTAAAGAGTGGTGTGAAGTGAAACCTGTGTGAGTTTAGCCCCAGATATCTTCACCTGGCTCCCTCCCTCTCACCTGCGTATGTGACAGTAGTGACTGGACTCCTAACCTTGTCCCGGCTGGGACCTACTCACCTTGGGTCAAAGAGATCACTGGGAAGCGTTTGTTGTTGTCGTCGTTGTTTGAGTCACAGTCTTACTCTGTTGCCCAGGCTGGAGTGCAGTGGTGCAGTCAAGCTGTAGCCTTGACCTCCTGGGCTCAAGAGATCCTTCTGCTCCAGCCTCCTGAGTAGCTGAACCACCACAAGCGCGCACCACCGTGCCTGGCTAATTTTTTTCATGTTTTGTAGAGACGAGGTGTCACTCTGTTGCCTAAGCTGGTTTTGGTCTCCTGGGCTCAAGCTATCCTTTTGCCTTGCCTTCCCAGAGGGCTGTGATTACAGGCATGAGCCACTGAGCCCAGTCAGGAATCCTTCTTTGGGGGGAAAAAAATTCCTGTAGAAAAAAATAGTAATCTTTCTGAATAAATTCTGTTTGATTACAAAAGCGATACATACTCGTGGGAAAAAGATGTTCCCATGGCACAGAGGGGATTATGGGGACTTCTCTGCCTACTTCAGAGACAGTGTTAAGCCTGTTCCTGTGATATCTTGGGAGGTGTTTGCTGCTTCTTCAAGCTCACATCCACAGTTCTTGCCTTTAATTTTTCCCAAGTGGGAGGAGCCGTACCATAAGTCATCTTCTTGCACTTTGCCACACTTAATAACGTACTGCTCAGGCCTTTCCTCTATGACAACATTCATTTATTCACTCAACAAATATTGATTGAGCATCAGCCACGGGCCAGACACTTAGGTGTTGCAGCGCTCCAACTTGAGCTAGACAGATGAGGTTCCTGGCCCTACGAAGCTGGCACTAAGCCAAGAAATGGTTGAGCTCCTGATAAGTCCTGTAAAGGAGGAAAGAAGACAAAATGCGGGACAATGGCCAGGGTGGGAAGAGGTGCCTGAGGCGGAGTTGGAACTGGGACGGGAGTGAGGAGAAGGAACGAGCTAGTTGAAGAGGCAGAAGAAGAGCATTCTGGGCAGGGGCGCTAACAGGTGCAGAGCCCCTGTGGCAGGAGTAAGCCTCTGCCAGAGGAGCAAAACAAAGAGAGCGCCAGGACCAGGCAGAGACGGGAGCTAGGGAGGCAGGGCCCTGTGGGCAGCGGTGGGAGTTTTTCCGACGAGGAATGATTTGGTGTGACGTTTATTTTAGAGGGGTGACTGCTGCCTGGTAACTGGCCATGGCAGTTGTCCAGGCCAGTGACGTCAGTGGCTACGACGAGGGGGCTGGCTGTGGAGGTGGGGACAGGGAGGCCCCTGCGATGGATTTGGAGGCCACGCTCATGGAAATCTGTGGATTTGTGTCAAGACGGTGGACAGGGAGATGAGGCCTCGGTGTTTGGCTTGACCAAGCGCGTGGGTGGTGGTGATTTGTCATAAGGATGAGTCGGGGGTGAGGGAGGGGAGGGCGGGAGAAAACAAGCGTCACGCTGTAGTATTTCAGATGCCACTTGCCATCAGATGTAAATGTAGAGTGGCGAGTGGGGGTCGGATGTGAAATCTTCAGTTCAAGGAGGAAGTCAGAGCTAGAAATAAGTATTGAGGGTCACCTGCCCAGAGATGATGTTTAAAGCTGGGACGAACCGTGGTCCCCTGCAGGGGCTGAGGGCTGAGGACCACGCTCTGGGAAGGCAAGCATTTAGTGGACAGTTAGAAGAGAGGCAGGCACAAAGGGAATGGAGCCGGAAGGGTCAGAGAGGTGCAGTAAGCAGGCGCTTCCGAAGTCTGGCGGTGAGTGTGCAGTGGGTGCGGTGAACTCCATTACGGCGTGGAGGGGGACGGAGGCTGAGCCAGGCCTGTTGTGTTTGGCAGCAGAACCAGAGGACACCTCTGTGGAGAGGCGGCAACAGAAATCAGGTCAGAGGGGACTGGAGAGCATGTGGATTGTGTGAGTCCGTGGACGTGTCCAGGACAGGCAATTTGTAGGGACAGAAAGTCGATGACTGAAAATCACTGCTAAATTACTAAACTGCTACTGAGTATATTCCTTAACATTTTTCCTTGTTTTTATTTATTTATTTATTTATTTATTTATTTTTTGAGTCGGAGTCTCACTCTGTCACCCAGACTGGAGTGCAGTGGCCGCTCCCGGCCACCACAGCCTCGACCTGCTGGGCTCCGGCGATCCTCCCGCCTCAGCCTTCTGAGTAGCTGGAACTACAGGCGTGTGCTACCACGCCTGGCTGATTTTTTATTTACTGTAGAGATGAGGTCTCGCTGCCCAGGCGGGTCTCGAACCCGCGGTCTCAGGCAATCCACTCACCTCAGCTTCCCAAAGGCGCGGGATTACAGGCTGAGCCACCAAGCCCGGCTTTTCCTTGTTTTTAAAAGCCTAATTAATGTAAGCATTGGTCACCTGAGTTTCAGGGTCTATCAACTTGATTTTAAAGAGGACGCTATAGGTGCAGAATGAGTCTTACTTTGTAATCATTTACCAGATATCTTGGAAGAGATCTAACACCATCTTTCTGCCTTTTTTATGTGCAGCATAATAAATGTGCCACATACTCTGTGGGAATGCAAAAAACTTACTCCATGATCTGCTTAGCAATTGACGACGACGAGAAGACTGACGGAAAAGCCAAGAAAATCTCAAAGAAGCTTTCCTTCCTGAGTTGGGGCACCAGCAAGAACAGACAGAAGTCAGCCAGTACGCTGTGCCTTCCCTCGGCTGGGGTCGCCAGGCCTCAAGTCAAGAAGAAGCTCCCCTCTCCCTTCAGCCTCCTCAACTCCGACAGTTCTTTGTACTAATGTGAGGAAACAAACATTTCTGGTGCTGACTAGGCCTTAACATTTGTGCCGTAATGGACAATACCAGAATATTCTCCAATCCTGTTTTTTCCCAGTGTAAACTTGCATTTGACATGTTCTTATGAATGAAAGTAACAAGAAGCCTCTAGAAATTTGTGAAAAACAAATTAATTTGAGGAGTGTCACTATATTGCTGCAAGTTATTTATTATATAAAGCATTATAAATAGAATAGTGTTGAAATTATGGCTATTTTTAATGGTTACAATTATGACTTTTAGTCACTATCAGAATTAAATTGAGATTACCTATATTAGAACAATTTGTAATAGTTTCCAGGTTTGCACAATGACTATTCCTCAACTTAGAATTCAGATGACCCTGAATTAAGGCAGTTCAGAGGACTGTAACAATGGAATTCAATTAGTGTTACTAAAAACTTTTCCAAAGAGCTGCTTAATAGGAATTCATTAACTTACAATAAAATTTTCCTTTGACACCTATATACTATGAATGCTATTTCTAGGTACAGTCTAGTGCCAAATTCGTCTTGAATCATTAAATAAAAACAAGAGCAGCTTTTCTTCTAGCTTGGTGTCATTTAAGAGTTGCTAACACAGTGGCAGTGTTAGATTAAGATGCTGTCTACAAGGTAGATAATATACTGTTTGATACTCAAAACATTTTTCATTTTTTAAAAAGTAGAAGGTATATAATTTCAGAAGGTGTATATATTTTAAGTCTTGGATAAAAAAGTAGTTTTACATTTTATAAGGTAAAGATGTAAATGATTCAAGTTTAAAGCTATTTGACCTTTTCAGATAATATTCTTACCCATTGATTGCTCTTGCTATGTGTTGGATGATACTGTGACTCTAGTAAGATTCACTGTTGACATAGTACAAGTTACATGGCTAAAATATATAGTGTTGAAGTCTGATTTTGAGAATTAACAAGAATTTAAGTATTTTCTATTGTGCAATATCTTAAGGGAAGCAAACACCTTTGGGAAAGTGTATCCACTGCTTCTAGGACCATGTTTGTATAAAGATTTAAATAAACACATTTGTTTACCTGCGTTAATTTTTTTGAACTTTTATTATACTTCAATCGTGTCCTCTTTCAAATTGTTTCTACCCTAATGCACAAAGTGTTTTTATTTTTAAAAATTACTAGGCTGGGTGCGGTGGCTCAAGCCTGTAATCCCAGCACTTTGGGAGGCTGAGGCGAGAGGACTGCCTGAGCCCAGGGGTTTGAGACCAGCCTGGACAACTTGGTGAGACCTTGTCTCTACAATAAATTAAAAAATCAGCCAGATGTGGCAGCGCGTGCCTGTAGTTCCAGCTACTTGGAAGGCTGAGGCAGAAGGATCACCTGAGCCCAGCAGGTCGACACTGTGGTGGCCGTCAGTGTGCCACTGCACTACAGCCTGGGTGACGGAGTGAGACTCTGACTCAAAAAAAAAACAACAACTATTAACATTCCAACCCAGGCACAGCAGCTCACACCTGTAATCCCAGCACTTTGGGAGACTGAGGCGAGAGTGATTGCCTGAGCCCACGGGTTTGAGACCAGCCTGGGCAACTTGGTGAGACCTTGTCTCTACAATAAATCAACAAATTAGCCGGGCATGGTGGCATGCACCTGTAGTCCCAGCTGCTCGGGAGGCTGAGGCGGAAGGATCACCTGAGCCCAGCAGATTGAGGCTGCAGTGGCCATGAGCATCCCACAGAACTCCAGCCTGGGCGACAGAGTGAGACTGACTCAAAAAAATAAAAATTACTAGCATTCCACAAAAGCAGGACTTAGCTTACACATTATATTAGTCGGGACCTTTAGTTGTATTTATTGAATGAATGTGCAATTGTACCTTTATATCCACAGGCCCTAGTTCCCCTCACTGGATGCAGCTGCTCCTGACATTTTCTTGTGTGTCCTCCTGTCGTCAGGCCATGCATACACTAACACATTCTTTTCTGCCTCACACATGTTGATTTTTCTTTTTTTTTTGAGTTGGAGTCTCACTCGGTCGCCCAGACTGGAGTGCAGTGTCCGGCGATCCTTCCGCCTCAGCCTTCCGAGTAGCCGGAATTACAGGTATGCGCTACCACGCCTGGCTGATTTTTTTATTTATTGTAGAGATGAGGTCTCGCTGCCCAGGCGGGTCTCCAACCCGCAGGCTCAGGCAATCCACTCACCTCAGCCTCCCAAAGGTGCGGGATTACAGGCTGAGCCACCGAGCCCAGCTTGATTTAGTGGGAACTTCAGACTCTAGGCCTTCTGTGTGCTGAAGACATATCCCGTGATTATAAGCAAATTGTACAGCTACCCCCTCCACCCCCCCAAAAAAGAATAAGGGAAGGAACAAAGAGAAGGAAGGAACTGTTGCACCATTGTTTATTGACATTGGCAGCAGCCCTCAACTCACAGGTATGTGAAAGCCAGACCTGAAGAACAGCAGCTCTGACTCCAGGAACTGGGGCTTGTGATGCACAGTGCTTCATTGTTTGTGTGTTTCCTTTAGATGGTCACGTCTACCACCGGACATTTTTTAGAAGACCTTTCCATGAAAGAGGCAGGGCAAGGTCACACATTAAAATCCGCCCTCACTGGGATTTTGCTGAGAATGAACGCCCCGGACTCTTTAAGGAAGATGGCCACCAGCCCTTTTCATTCCTAGCAGAATGAGGCCAGTGCCATCTGCCACCCACAAACTGAAATGCCAGCAGCCAGACACCAAGGCAGCATGAGTGTGGACTCTATTCAGGCCTCATCTGTTTTTTGGTTTTAAAGTCTGGAAGCAAGATCCTGTCATTCATGGTCTAAAGAAGAAGATGCAGTTCCGTGAGGCCAGCCATCATCCGGACCATGTGAAGAAGGTGTGGATTTGCTGTGCCACCGCTTGTCCAACGACCTGCGCGAGTTCTGGAATGGAAGCATTACTCAGCTGCTGGATGCTCGGGAACTTCTGAAGCAGTAGGGGAGCTTTGACTTTTCCAACTCCTGGAATCTGCTGCACAGTTCGAAGGAGGCATGACTCCAACGGCAGCAGAGCCCGTTTCTTCTTGAGGAAAGGGTTCTTACTAGGCTCTTTGCTTTGCTCCTGAACCTGAATCCCAGATCAAAGGAAAAAGTGCATGAGCGCCCTCTGGAGGACCGGCAATTTTGTTAAAATTTGTTTTGTATAAATTTAGTTCTTCCATTTGGTTCAGCTTTACTTACTGTACCGATGTTTTCATATACAATGAATATAATTTTCTGTTGTTTTTGTTAGAGACGGAGTCTCGCTCTGTTGCCCAGGCTGGAGTGCAATGGCAGAATTCTAGCTCACTGCAAGCATCCTTGAACTCCTGGACACAAGCAATCCTTTCTCCTCATCCTCCTGAGTAGCTAGGACTACAGGCACGTGCCATCATGTCCAGCTAAGTTTTTAGTTTTTTGTAGGGGGGGTCTGGTTATGTTGTCCAGGCTGGTCTCCAACTCCTGGGCTCAACTGATCCTCCCACCTTGCCCTCCCAAAGTGCTGGGATTATAGAAGTGAACTACCATGTCTGGCTTCAGCAAAATTATTGAAATATGAACCATATGATGGCACAAAGAAGCAAGAGATAAACAATAACTTACAAAACGTGAGTTTTTGTAACATTTAGAATACAACTACTGAGAAACACCCTTAGGAATTCACTTTCCAGTGGTCCAGTAAGAAACATTTCAGTTGTACAGGATTAAATGACAGCTAAACCTAAACTAGACCTATTTCATGCAGGACCTGCAAGAAGCTTTCCTATCAAAGGGGAAATTCAGTCTTCAGCTGGTAGTTATAATAAGGCAAATAACAGCATGACATCAAGAGAAATTAGGAATCGTGTAGTAAGGGATGGGGAGGGTTGCGTTTCCAATCTAGTTCTCGACCCTGGCTGCACACAAGAGGGGTAGGATTAAAAACAATACAAACCAGAATTGGTGTTCAGGTTCCACCCCACGTTTTCATTTTGTTTTCAATTGGTTGGAGGTTTTCAATTGGTTGGAGGTAAAGCGCATGTATCACTATTTTAAAAAGTGGTAATTATAATGTGCAACCTAGTTGAAAAAATAAGCAAGGACAATGAAGAACCAGTGTTTTGTGGGGTTTTTTGAGTCGAAGTCTCACTCTGTCGCCCATGCTTGAGTGCAGTGGCACACTCATGGCCACTGCAGCCTCGCCCTGCTGGGCTTAGGTGATCCTTCTGCCTCAGCCTTCCAAGTAGCTGGAATTACAGGCACATACCACCACGCCCACCTAATTTTTTGATTTACTGTAGAGATGAGGTCTCGCCAAGTTGCCCAGACTGGTCTTAAACCCTTGTGCTCAGGCAATCTCTCGTTTCAGCCTCCCAAAATGTGGTGTGAGCCACCATGCCTGGCCTGTGTTTTTTACAATAAACTTACACATATAAGTGCTGATGCTTAATAAAAGATACATGGGGATGAGACCAAGCAGCTGCTAGTTGACATTTTCACCAGCATAAGTGCAGGATATTGAATGATGGGAGCCTAAAATCAGGTCTCCAACTTGTTTACTTTGTGATACACTTGCCTAGAGTGGTTGGCAAGTTCAGCTGGCTGCCAAGACAGCTTCCGAGCTCAAATTCCTGAAAAAGCTTTTATAAACAAATACAGGGAATGACATAGACTGAATCGATGGGTTGCAATTATAGCAAGGGCAGCTGAGGGCAGCAAAGGTGTAGGAATCGGTACTTACCAACTGGACGATGAGGCAGGATGCTTCCATCTGGCTGGTCACTGGAAGTAACACCATCCCGAGGTCCAGCACAGTAAACTTCTGTAAGGCTGGGAAGTATTGTTCACTCATCTGTGTTTTTTCAACTACTACAATTCCTTGAAGATTACTGGACTTGAAAAAAGACAGCAGACCATTTTGTAAAAAAGTTCCTTTCCGGGTTAAGAAATTTACCAATTTGTGCTTCAAATAGCCAATGGTTCTATACAAATTACTCGAAGAGATGGAGGGAATGGGGGAAGGGAGACAAGGCATCGTTCAATTTTTCTTCCTTTAATCCAGTACTTAACATTTCTACACTTGAACTTAGCCAAAAGGCCAAGAAGCGATCAGTACTTACATTTCTAATCCGAACAAGTCTCTTTCTGTAGCCATTTCCTGCCACCAAATCAGCTTCGGTGACATAAAGAATGCAGGATCTGTTAGACAGGTAGAAATCCGATGTCAGGTCATCCTCAAAAACGAGCTTAATTTTCCCTTAAAATACAGGAAAATAAGTTCCGTGAGCTTTGGATCAGACGGTAGCAATAGGCAGAACTTAAAAAAAAAAGTGTTCGGGGAGGGAAAAGGCTTCGGGGAGAGGGCCGCCCACTGACCTTGCATCCCCTGCGCCAGCTGCGACCCGCGCCATTTCTCACTGGCCACTATGTAGCCAAAAGGCACGTGCACGGGGCCCGTGCCACCGGGGCCATCGCCTTCCATCGGGGGTCTCGACTTGATGAGGGAAACGCAAGAGGGTTCTTGAGCAGGCTCTCCCGCACTCGGCCCCGCATGCCACTCGAAGCCGGGGCCTTTGGGCTGGATCCCGTCTGCAGAGCTTCCTTTCAGGGGCTGAATTATTTGCTGAAGTCTACGACCCAGCAGATGCCTGTCCTGGGTCCGCGTCGCTCAGTTCCATCACGTGCCTGGCCCCTGACACCCCAGCCGGGTCCGCACCGTGGCCCTCAGTGCAGTCCTGGGCCGGGGCCGGGGCCGGAGGGCAAGGAGCCCACCTCACCCGAGTCTAGCAGTGACCACACCCGAGGCCGCGCCACTTCCGGGTTCAAGCCCGCAGAGCTCGCCTAGTCCTTCATCCAGCCCGCCCTCCACCCCCCGCGGCGTCGGATAGGCTGTGGCGCCGGAGATGGACATCCAAACTGGCCAGTGAGGCAACGGCATTCAACCCGGTTGCCAAGGGCGACGGCTGCGAAAGTAAACCTTGGCGCTGATTGGCCGAGGACCAAGCGGAGCCAATGGAAGACGCGGTTGGTGCGAGGTCCGTTGAGGAGAAACAGCGTCTCGACCCACGTCCCCCAGAGTGAGCTTGGCTTTGGCGAGCGCTCCCGGGCGGGGCGGAGGTTAGCTGAGAGCTCCCGCCCGCCGGCCGTCCCCCGCTGCAAGGATGCTTCTGGGGTTTCGGAGAGGCCGCAAGGCCCAGTTCGTGAGTACTCGACGCCGTGGCGCCCGGGAGCGAGGGCTGAGGGCTTGGGCGGGCTTGGGGCACAGGAGGAAGTGGTTTTCGGTTCCGGAAGCCCCGATTTTTTACATTCGAAAGAATCTTCTATCCCAGGGTCGGCCGCAGTCGGGCAGGAGTCACCCCGTCTTCCCTGCAGCATTCTCTGCCGTGCCGGGGAGCTCACTCCTGCCCGGCACGAACTGCTCGGCTGCTGGGTGTCCCGGAGGGGGAGAGAGGCGGTCCAGGGGCCGCCCTCCGCCACCCACCACGTCCCCCCCCGTCAGCGCGGCCCATCCGCGCGGCTCACGAAAGAGATCTCGAAACGCTTCCCGCCCCCACCCACGGCCTTCGGCATCTCCCTGGTTTCTCTGCACCCTGGGTCCTTTCTCCGCATAGCAGCAAAAGGGTTTGTTTTATTTTGTTGTCCGACTCGGATTCGCACTCTTGCCCCGGCTGGAGTGCAGGGACACGATCACGACTCCCCGCAGCCCCCGCCACCCGGCTGCTCCCGAACTCCTGGGCTCGCGCAGTCCCCCCTCCTCAGCCTCGCAAAGCGCCGGGATTTCACACATGAGCCGCCCCGCCCCGCCAAGGTTCTTTTAACACTTAAAACTTCAAAAAAGAATTACCACCCCCACACGTACGCCCTCCCCAGCCTACCTGGCCTTCATTCAGGGCTTTTCTATTCCTTCTTCCTGGTCTGCTTCCCTCCAGATCGTCCCGTGGCCACCCAGTCATTGTATGCTTAGCCAGAACTCCCAGTCTCCTTCCCCGACCACCCCCCTTGACTTTACTACTCCCCTTCTAGGATCCTGACTCCAACAGTCTGTTGGCATCTCCCGTCTTTCCTCCACAGTCTGACCATCCGATCCCCGCCGCCCTCACTGCCCTCTCTTCAGAGTCTAAGTCTGCCATCCGTCGTTATAAAAACTCCCTGCAACACCTTCAACTCTCTTCCTCCTATCTTCCTTTTCCAGCCTTGCCTGGAAAAACCCCTGACCCACTTACATTCAGTCAAGTGCAGAAAAAAGCACTGTGATGAGGCCACTCCTGAACTCTGTTTTAAAGAGAGGCTAGAGAGCATGTCTGCCTTGGCTTTTCTGTGCTCTGTCTACAACCTGCTGAAGCCACTGTAGACGGCTGGATGTTGAGAAGCAATGAAGACGGAATCGAAGCATATTTTTGCATTGCAAATTTGCTAAGTCAAGTCAGCATTTTAGCGAGTTTTTATTTATTTATTTATTTATTGAGTTGGAGTCTCACTCTCTCGCCCAGACTGGAGGGCAGTGGCCGCTCCCGGCCACCGCAGCCTCGACCTCCTGGGCTGCGGCGATCCTTCCGCCTCAGCCTTCCGAGTAGCTGGAACTACAGGTGCGTGCTACTACTCCTGGCTACTTTTTGATTTATTGTAGAGATGAGGTCTTGCCAAGTTGCCCAGGCGGGTCTTGAACCCGTGGGCTCAGGCAATTCACTCACCTCGGCCTCCCAAAGCACGGGATAACAGGCTGAGCCATCACTCACCTCGGCCTCCCAAAGCACGGGATGACAGGCTGAGCCACCGAGCCTGGCCATGAGTTTTTATTTAAAGTAGTAAGCGTTATTGAGTTCCTGCGGTGTGCAGATATCCACAACTGCTTTTCAGCTTGTGGCCACACTGTCGAGCAGATAGACAAGCCTGCAAATAATTCACCACAAAGTGGGAAGAGAACTGCTGTAGACGTGTGAACCTATGGAGCAGCAGTGAAGTCAATCTAGAGGGTTGGCCTGGGCTGTGGGGGCCTTGAGGAAAGAAAATTCCTGGGAAGAAGATAGGATGTTTCGCGACCTGAGAAAGCATGACTTACTTGCTGTTTGGGAAATAGAAGACATCAGTGGGTGCCGAAGTGTAGACTGTGTGCAGGGATGAGGATGGTAGTAGGAAATGAACTGGGACCTGGTAGGAACCAGCTTCCAGCAGCCCTTCTGTGCTGTGCTGGACCACTTACCTCTGTCATCAAGAGAGTGGGGCTGCCCGTGAGGGTTTTCATGCTGGGCAGACATAGGGCCATGCTGTGATTTAGAGACTGGAGGCAAGAGACCCATCATTAGGGGATGATTATGATGGTGTAAGTAAGAAATGTTGAGTGCACCGTGAGGATTCGCTCTTTCAGACAAACACAAAGCCAAACACATGAGGCCTTTTCAGAGGATCTATTGGATGCCAGCCCCGGAGATTCAAAGGTTAAAAAACCCTCTTGTTCCTTGACGGTTTCCCGGGTGGTGGCAGGTGCTGGGGGACAAACATGTAAACTGACAATTGCTTGACAAATGCAGGGTGACAGGAGCCTCAAGGGGGTAAAAGACAGAAGAGTGACTGGGTACAGACTGCTCTGAAACAACGGTGGGTGTCCACGCAAAGTGACCTAGAGAGGATGAGGTGGAGACTGTGGAGATTCTTAGATGGTCTGTGTGACGCTGGCTCCACCTCCCTTCCTCGCCCATCCCTTGTGCCAGCCACTGCCCGATAGTCCTCCCAAGTGCCGCTGTCAATGGGTGCTCCTCCCTGGGCCACAGGATCTCCTCAGGCTAGTCCCAAAGACCTTCGATGGGAATTGTCCCTGCTCTGACTCCCAGCCCATTGTTCTACCGCGCCTCGCAGAGGCCTCTGGATCCTGGCAAACCAGAGCGCTGTTCTTATTTCCAGAGCACTGTCACCAATGTCTCGCTCCACTCCTTCGTTCATGCTGTCCGCTTTCTCGAATGCTTTTCCATCACATTTCCAAATGTGGGAGCAGTGGCTGTCTTTGAAAACCCTGCTTCTGTGGTTTTCTCTAAGGAGAACATTTGAGGTCCGTGCTGGCCTCTTGAAGGAACTCTTCCCTCCCTGGGTTCCCTAGGCACTCTGTGCTGAGTAGTGGCTTAAAACATAAAAATGTTTTTTTGGTCCCACATCTGATTGATACTGTGTGTGTGTGTGTGTGTGTGTGTGTGTGTGTGTGTGTGTGTGTGCGCGCGCGCGCGCGCACGCGTGCGCGCACATGTGTGCAAGAGCCTTTCCCCGGCTCTGTCCAAAATTTCGTTCTATAATGACTATTTGGGTGTTTTTCCTCTATACTCCACCTCCTCAAGGATGAGGATGAGGTTTCTTCATTGTTGTCATGGTGTTCTGCCCCTAGTAGGTGTGAACGCCTCAGCCAGCCTGAGGAAGGAGGGCAAAGAGGGCCTCCAGCCTGGGCAGCTGTGAGGGCCCTCCCTGGGTGGGTGCATTCGTGTGGCCAGGTGAAGACTGGGAATGGCAGGGAAGGCGTGGGCTTCTGGTGGGGTTGGGTCCCTCGGGGCCAGGGCAGGTGTCTCCTCCCCAGCTGGGAGGAATGGTAGTGACAGGACCCAGGGACACCCCCTAGCTCACTGACCTCTGCTGGCTTTCATTTGCTCAGAGACACATCGCCCATGGCATCCTCCCTGCAGCCAGCATCGCTCCCAAGCCCGCCGTGCCCCGCACGCCTCCTCCCCGCAGCCCCAACCCGTCTCCAGAGAGACCAAGGTGAGTCTTGGGCGAGCAGACACGGGGGTTCCCCTGTGCTCCAGGTGCTGGATCCTGGAACTGGTTGAAGTGTCCAGAAAATCACAAATACTGCAGTTGGAATCATGTTTTTCAAATATTTACCACATTTCTATGATGATGCACTGAATAGGGTGGCTCTGAAGGATAATGGACGTATTTGGGATCTCTCCCTTTCAGGTGTATAAAGTTCTCACATTTCATAATTGAATACTCAGGAGTATTTTTCAGGACTACAAAGCATTAACATGCAAGTATTCAGGTTCATAGTACTTTAAAGAGAATTTTGAATTGTACACATAATTTTCTTTTTCAACACAAGTTGCCCTTTTAAAAGAAATGCTTTGTAGGAAGGAGGAGCATGTTCATTGCCAGTGCCTGGAATTCTCCATCTACCAGTTTTTGGAAAATACCAGACAACTATCTTTTATCCCTGGATATAGAAAGGACAGGAGGATACCTCTGTTTGTGTCCTCCAAGATTTTAGGCACAGGCAAATTTTAGACGATTTTTAATCCATAAAATACATTGACTTGGGTATTAACAGTGAATGAGAACTCCTCCCATTCAAGGATGGTGCCTTCTTTGTATTGTTCTTTGGTACTGGAATATTGCATGCCTCCTGAGAAAAAGCACTCTAATATTTTAGTGTTTTTTCCTTCTGTTCAATCTTGATAGCAAGAATACTGTTTATTAATGTTTGCTTTGTGCCGAGTACTCTGGAAGTGCTCAGGAAACTTTGCCTCATTTCATCACTTAAGGACCCTGTGAGAGAGTGCTGCTGTCTCTACTTTGGGCTGCACGTGAGGCCCAAGTGTGAGCGAGTGACTCAGAGTCTCAGGGCTGGCTGTTGAGTGGTGGCATGGCTGCTGTGCAAACATGGCTCTGTCCAGCTCTTCAGTGTTTGTGTGAACAACTCTTACGTGTGTCATCGTGACTTAAAAGTTTATGTAGCCACACAAGGAACTAGAGCTTAGCGTTATGTCCTATTATAAAGCAGAAAAGCAACTGAAATGTGTTACTTCATGGCAAGCAAGCTGTAGTCTTCTGAGAGAATGTTTCTCTATAGTCTGCTTTACAAAAGTATCTTCTTTCAGGGTTGTAATCTTTGTAACCCCAAAATAGTCGACTTTGACAAATTTGTCATATTTTTAGTGTTTTTGTTTTGTTTTGGTTTTGAGTCGAAGTTTCCTTCTGTTGCCCAGGCTGGAGTGCAATGGCATGATTGTGACCACCACAGCCTTGACCTGGGCTCAGGCGATGCTTCCACTTCAGCCTTCCAAGTAGCTGGAACTACAGGCACATGCCATCACTCCTGACTGATTTTTTTTGTTTTATTGTAGAGACAGGATCTTGACTTGTTGCCCAGGCTGGTCTTGAACCCCTGGGCTCAGGCAAGCCTCTCACCTCGGCCTCCCAAAGTGCTGGGATTACAGGTGTGAGCCCCTGCTCCTGGCTAGATTGTTTTTATTTCTAAAAAATAATATTCAGATTAATATTATTCACTTCAGGTGTAATGCAAGAACCTTATAGCAATTTATTTCTATTTCTTTCTTCTCATTCTTGGTGCTACTGTTGTTGTACATTTAAATATTATATGTAAAAACCCCACAATGCATTGTTGCTGTTTTTGCTTTGCCATCATTTATCTTTTTAGAAACAATTTTGTTGAGGTATTCTTGACATACAATAAAGTGTGCATATTTAAAATGCATAATTTGATACATTTTGATATACGTTTATACTTGTGAAACCATGGCCACTTCCAAAGGACGGCTCATGTCCCTTTATAATTCCCTCCTTCTGCCCCTTTTTCTCACATCCCATTCCCCTGGTCATCTCCAGGCAACCGCTAGTCTGCTTTCTGTCACTGTAGATGAGTTTGTATTTTCTAGAATTTTATGTAAGTGGAATTACAGAAAATAATTATGCTGCCTCCTTTCACTTGGTAGAATTATGTCGACATACATCCATTTGTGAAAATTAGTAATTCACCTTGTTTATTGCCGAGTAGTATTCAGTATATGACTACATCACGATTTGTTTATAGATATTTGGGTTGTTTCTAATTTTGATTACCAGAATAAGGCTGCTATGAACATTCGTGTACAAATCTTTGGACATACGCTTTCATTTCTTTTGGGCAAATATCTAGGAGTGAACTAGCTGGGTCATGTCCTAGGTAGGGATTTAATTTTTTTTTTTTTTGAGTTGAAGTCTCACTCTGTCGCCCAGACTGGAGTGCAGTGGCCGCTCCCGGCCACCGCAGCCTCGACCTGCTGGGCTCTGGCGATTCTTCCTCCTCAGCCTTCCAAGTAGCCGGAATTACAGGCCTGCGCCACCACGCCCGGCTGATTTTTTGATTTATTGTAGAGATGAGGTCTCGCTGCCCAGGCGGGTCTCAAACCCACGGGCTCAGGCAATCCACTCACCTCAGCCTCCCAAAGGTGCGGGATGACAGGCTGAGCCACCGAGCCCGGCTGGGATTTAATTTATTAAGAAACTAGCGAATGACTTTCCAAGGTTGTTCCCACCAGCAGTATATGAGTTCCAGTTGCTTCATATCCTTGGCAACACTTGGTTTGGTCAGTCTATGTATGTCTGTGGTTTTATTGCTTTATTTGACAATCACTGGTTAGTTTTCATCCACATTGACTGTAGGTTTTGAAAGTGGTCACAGGTACATAGGTAACCAATGTCTAGAGCTTGTGTGGTGAATCTTCACGTTCATTGTACTTTCTGGACATTGCTAGACAGACAGGGTTTGGGATATTCCTTCTTCCTTTGTCTCAGACACCTTTGTTGAGCCTAGTGTCAGTACACACATCTGGAGTTCCGTCTGGAGATCATGGTGAATTTCTGGGTCTCACTGAGTGCCGAGGGGCAGTTTCTTGACGTGCATTCCATGGATGTGCTTGTGAATGTTGGTGGACTGTCTGATCACCACCTCGCTGATGGCAGAGCACTGTTCTTGCCACCCTTCTCTGTGGGAGCCATTCTGTGAGGCCCAGTGTAGAGAGGAAGAACCTGAGGAGTTGTCTTGGTCAGTTTTTAAAATTTTGGACCTTTAATGGGTGTGTAGTAGCATCTTGTTGTGGTTTTGTTTTGCTTTGGTCTGATAGCTAATGGTGCTTTTCATGTGCTTGTCATTTGTGTATCTTCTTTAGTGAATATCTGTTCAAATCTTTTGCATATTAAAAAAAATTGGGTTGTTTGTTTTTCTATATTGCATTCTTTTATTTTTTTTGAGTCAGAGTCTTACTCTGTCACCCAGGCTGGAGTACTCTGGCACACTCATGGCTACCACAGCCTCGACTTGCTGGACTCAGGTGATCCTTCTGTCTCCCTCCTGAGTAGCTGGGACTACAGGTATGTGCCACCACATCCAGCTAATTTTTGTATTTTTTGTAGAGATGAGGTCTCACTATGTTGTCCAGACTGGTCTCGACCTCCTGGACTCATGCAATCCCTCCTGCCTCAGCCTCCCAAAGTGCTGGGATTACAAGTGTGAGCCACCACACCAGGCCCATGCAGCAGTATTATTTCCCCCACATCTCGCTGACATCTTTTTAAAAAATATTTTCCCAGCAGTAGTGGGAAACTGTGTGGGGTGGGGGGTGCATACCTCATCAACAAGGGTACCTGCATAATGACCATTTGTATACCTAGCCCTGAATTGTACCCCATGTCTTTAAAATTAAAAAATATTTAAAATATATAGACCGGGCTCGGTGGCTCAGCCTGTAATCCTGCGCCTTTGGGAGGCCGAGGCGAGTGGATTGCCTGAGCCCGCGGGTTTGAGACCCGCCAGGGCAACTTGGTGAGACCTCGTCTCCACAATAAATCAAAAACTAGCCAGGTGTGGTAGCGCATGCCTGTAGTTCCAGCTACTTGGAAGGTTGAGGCGGAAGGATTGCCGGAGCCCAGCAGGTTGAGGCTGTGGTGGCTGGGAGCGTGCTACCACACTCAAGTCTGGGCAACAGAGTGAGACTCCAACTCAAAAAAAAAAAAATTTTTTTTTAAAATATATTTTTTCCCTTTTTGTTTCATTTTGGTTATTTTCTATTGTTTTTCCTTCAATTTTACTGATCTTTTCTTTTTTGATGTGTCATCTATTAATCCCATCTAGTGTACTTTTCATCTTTGATGTTGTCATTTTTATCTCTCAAAGTTTGGGTCTTTTTAAATAATCTTCCATGTCTCTGTTTAGACTTTTAAACATATGAAATATAGCTATAATAACTGTCTTAATATCCTTTCCTTCTAATTCTAACATACATGTTCAGTTCTTAGTGGCTTTCAACTGATTATTGTCTTTATCATAGGCCATGTTTTCCATCTCTTTGCTTACCTGGTTACCTTTGGATACAAGACGTTGTTGTGAATTTTACTTTGTTGAGTGCTGGATTGTTTTGTATTCCTATACATTTTTCTGGCCCTTGTTCTGGGATACAGTTAAGTTTCTTGGAAACAGTTTGATCTTTGAGTCTTGCTTTTCTGATTTGTTAGGTGGATCCGGACACTGTTCACCAAGGGCTGATTACTCTCCACTCCTGAGGCCGGGCCTTCCTGAGTCCTTGTCCCGTGTCCCACTGATAAGTGTCTCCAGTCTTTCTGGTGGGAACAGCTGCTATCCCTATCCATGTGTAAGCACCTGGTCCTGCTCCTCTAATGCTTTTGGATGATTGTGCCTCCAGCCTCGGATAATTTCCTCACTCTGGTGTGCCGCAGTGTATTCTGTTCAGCACTCAGGATGTCATTCTGCAGATTGGGGAAGCTCTTTGTGGAGTTCCCTCCCTCCTGTACTCTGTCCGGTGAATCCTGTCTGCCTTGGTGTCCCTGAGCTCTCAGCTCCTTTGCCAGAAGTCAGGGAGTCTACCTGGCTCCACCTCGTTTCTTCCCTGTGCTGTGACCTGGAAGTTCTCCAGGCAGTGAACTAGAACAGTTATGCGTCTTTTGTTTTGCCTTTTTAGGCAGGAGGGTAAAGCGGTTACTCTATCTTTCCTATATTTTTGAATAATTTGCAAGTGTTTTTAAAACATCCTTTTAAGTCTTTTATGTCTTTTTATACTTCCTTTCTCCCCCACTCTTATTGTTCATTTTAATAAGAAAACTATTGGACTGTAAGCTTCAGACTCTGACTACCTCAGTTAAGAGCTGGTTCTATTGATACCTCCAGTTGGCTAGGAAATCTTTACAGGTCATTTAATTTCTCTGAAAAGTGGGGTGATAACAGAATCTAGTCATCAGTTGATGTGAGAATCAAATGAAACTGTCGATAACACAGACCATGGCCACACTGCGATGTTCAGTGGACACTAGAAAAGAAAGTAGACCTTGAGTGGTTCACGCATCTTGTCATTTGGCCTTCACCTTGAATGTCTGTGTCGCGCTGTCTCAGTGGGATGTTTTTGTCCACAGGTCTGCTCTAGCTGCAGCCATCCTGGCAACGACGTTAACAGGCCGGACCGTTGCCATTCCTCAGCCTCGCCAAAGATCTCGGTCGGAGAGTGACACAACCGATGTGGAAAGAGATAGCTTCATCGAGCCCTATGCCACCACCTCAGAGCTGGGACTTCGGTAGGGACCATGTCGCTGACTCTACTTCTTCTCAGGGCAGAAGAGGAACAACTTAGCATGGTCTCTCTCTGTGTATGTGTGCATGTGTGCATGTGTGCATGTATATGTGTGGGTGCCTGTGTACGTTTGTGTGTTTTAAGGACTGGAGTCTTAGTCACCAGGTTTTTATCACCAATGTCAAAGGGACACTGTCCAGGGATATTTATTACCCTTGAGTCAAATTTTCTTCAGAATGGGTTTTTGTTTTGTTTAGAGATTGGGTCACCCAGGCTGGAGTGCAGTGGTACGATCATAATTCACTGCAGTTTCAATCACCCAGGCTCAAGTGATCCTCCCACCTCAGCCTTCTGAGTAGCTGGTACTACAGATACCTGCCACCATCCCTGGCTACTTAAAAAATTTTTTTTGTAGAGTTGGGATCTCTCTATGTTGTTCAGGCTGGTGTTTAACTCCTGTTTTCAAGTGATCCTCCCACCTTAGTCTCCCAAAGTGCTGGGATTATAGACATGAGCTACCATGCCCCGCTTAACATCTGTTTTTTTTTTTTTTGAGTTGGAATCTCACTCTGTCACCCAGGCTGGAGTGCAGTGGCACGCTCACGGCCACCCCTGTGTCAACCTGCTGGGCTCCAGCGATCCTTCTGCCTCAGCCTTCCAAGTAGCCGGACCTACAGGCGTGTGCTACCACACCCAGCTGATTTTTTGATTTGTTATAGAGGCAAGGTCTCACCATGTTGCCCAGGCTGGTCTCGAACCTGCAGGCTCGGGCAGTTTTCTCGCCTCAGCCTCCCAAAGTGCTGGGATTACAGGCTTGAGCCACCCTGCCTGGCTGATTTTTTAAAAAAGACACAGTCTTGCTATATTGCCCAGGCTAGCCTCAAACTCCTGTACTCAAGCAGTACTCTTGCTTCAGCCTCCCAAGTAGCTGGGATTACACAGAGTGGCTCTTGTTAAATTATGACTTGTGCAACCACTGGTCATTTTCATGGCAGCACAGAGCTATGAATTCAGTGTTGCTTTCAGCCCTAATAGGATTCTCTGTGCCACAAATTAAGTAGTAAGAGGTTCCCCTCATCACTTCTCATGTGCCTCTCTAAAAATTCATATTTTACCTTCCCTGGCACCTATCACATCTTTTTCTTTTCTGTTTGACCCAGGTTTGAGCTGACACAGGGCTGGGGCTCAGGAAAGCTTCCTTCTAAGGAAGAGAGGGTTGAGGGGAGAGCTTAGGGATACACAGGGATCGTCAGGAACAGCTTGAGCATTGGGGATGTCCGTGCGGGGCTGGGCTGAGCTTGCAGGTAGGCTGGGGGTGCCTCTTCTGAGAGTGGCAGGAAAACGCTAGAGGGCTTTTTAAGGGCTCCTGGGGTGGGAATGGGAATACGTGATCAAATTTTCCTTTAACTGGCACATGCCACGTCAGGCTAATTTTTTATTTTTTTGTAGAGATGGGGTCTCACTATATTGCCCAGGCTGGTCTCCAACTCCTGGTCTCATGTAATCCTCCCTCCTTGGCCTCCCAAATTGTTGAGATTACAGGCATGAGCCACTGTGCCTGGCCCGGTGGTTCGTATTATAGGACTAATCCTAAATACAGTAGAGTTTATCTGCATATAGGTATTGATTACGGGGTTACTTATAACAGTGAAAATTGGAGGAAAAAATCCACCTAAGTAAGGAAAATGGCCGACTAAACTGCTGTATCTACTTGATTCCTACCTTCCAAAATGTTGACTATAAAAACTCACTAATAACAAGACAATTGTGTATATATGCAATAATAACTACAAAAACAAAAAAATAGAAATGCTGAGTGTACAAAGAAGTCGGATGCTGGGTGATTTATCTTTCAGCTTCTATATGTTTTGTAATGTAATACATTTAGGATCGGGGCTTGGAGATAGTGCATTTAATACAGGCATATATGTATCAACGTCAAGTGACTTTTCGTTTGTTTTACTCTTTAATGTTCTAATATAGACCAAATTGGCAGAGTGAGCTGGGGAGAAGAACTTCTTTGCCATCCTTTGAAACCTTGGGCTACGGGGAAGAAGAGGACGAGGCAACCCAGCCATCATCCAGCAGCAAGGAGTTGGGGGATGTCCGGGCCCAGAGAGAAGAGGGAGGGTGCGGTGACGATGTGTATGCTGAGCCACAGAGAAATCAGGTGTCTTTCATGTTCCAAAGTTTCTTCCTGACATTCACTTTGATGGTAACTTTTGGTAGATTGCTTTGTTTTTTTTGTTTTTGGGTCTCACTCTGTCCCTCGGGCTGGAATGCAGTGACACAGTCATGGCTCACTGCAGCCTCTGCCTTCTGGGCTCAGGTGATCCTTCTGCCTCATCCTCCCTAGTAGCTGGAACCACAGGCACATGCCGCGACACCTGGCTCATTTTTGGATTGTAGAGATGAGGTCTCACTACATTGTCCAGGCTGGTCTCCAACTCCTGGGCTCTAGTGATCCTCCGACCTCGGCATCCCAAAGTGCTGGGATTGCGGGTGTGAACCACCGCCCCTGGTTTCCATTCACTTCCTGTAGGCAGCCCATCTCGTTAGCTTCTGGTTCATTCTTCCTGAACCATCTCATTTGCTTCACACCCTTGGGGTAAATGTGTAAAGAAACAAGGTGAGTGCTTACCTGTGTCCAAGGCAGGATTCAGACCATACCACATCTTCCCTGTTTAGAATTAAAATTTTTATTCACAGGCCAAGCCTTCCTCTCTACAAAAAATGAAAAAATTAGCCTGATATGGTGCTGCATGCCTGTAGTCCTATCTGCAGCAGGAAGGTTGATGCAGGAGTTTGAGGTTATAGTGAGCTATGATTGTGCCACTGCACTCCAACCTGGGTGACACAGCAAGACCCTGTCTCAAAAAAGAAAAAAGTTAGCATAAAGTCTAAGTATCCTATCCAGGAAGACAAGAAAGGAGGCTTTGGCAAGGGCTACAGACAGATGAGAGCAAAGCCGTCCCTGGTGCTGTTGCTGTCAGCACTTAACAGGGCTGATCCGCTTCTTTCTCCCAACATACTCAAATAAACCTTGTTTTAGTTACCAAAGGGAATTTTCACAATTAGAAATATTGGGGAGTTAACAAAGGTTCTAAATTAAGCCTTTTAGGTTATATTTATAGACTAGTATCACAAATTCTTTATGAAGGTATGCTTTTAGACTTATGTATTGTTATGTTAAATATGAACAAATAAGTGTACAGTTCAATAAATTTTCACTAAGTAGCCACCACCCAGATTTAAAAACAAAACAAAACAAAGAATGTTACTTTTACCCAAGTAGTCTCCCTACTTCTCAGTCACCACAGAGTTAACATTGTCCTGACTCTAGATTAGATCTTTAATAATTAGGTCTTTAATAATAGCCTTAGATTAGCTCTGCCTGTTCTGGAAATTATGTGAATGTGATAAGACAGTATGTATTCTTTGGAGCTGGGGAGAGTCCTCAGTTATTGTGTGTAGTAGGAGTTGGTTCACTCTTATTGCTGTATGATATTTCCCTATACAGCTTGGCCATTCAGTTATACATTCATTTTACCGATGATGGATGTTTGATTGTTTCTAACTTGGGGTTCTTAGGAACAGTGCTGCTGTGAACACTTGGAGCTGTGTCCTTTGATGTATATATGTATATTTTTGTTGTGTATGTACTGAGGAATGGTGTACATGTGATCAGTGCTAGAAAGTGCTGCCAGATGGTTTTCCCTATGGGGGATCTTCATGATGTCATTGAATTGTCTTACCCATTTCATATTTCCTTGATAATAGTGAGTTACTTAATATGACTTTGACAAGGTGAACAAGAGAAAGAAATGCAGGAGGTCATTTCTTTTTCTTCCTGAAATAATGAGCAGGTTGGGAGATTTGTCTGCTTTGTCTCCTGAGTCAGGTCATCTTGGGACCATGTCCACAGCTTAGTGGGCCTAGCAGCCTTCGCCATTGCCTCTGAGATACCTCTTCCCGTGGGCATCTTGCTGGTCACTGCCACCACCTCCCTGCCAGCCTCAGGGACAGCCCTTCCATTGCCTGTAGCGTAGCACAGCTAAGCCAAGCTGGTCACAAAAGCAAGATTTTACTGAATAATCAGAGTAGCAGAAGGGAAGCCAACCCAGAAAGGACCAGTCACAGTTTATCATACAGGGCCTGCTTCATTCCTCTTCCTCTCAAGCAGTCCCCAACCCCAGACCCCTGCTGTTGAGAGTGTCTGTTCCTCCTCGGGGTAGTCTTGTTCCTGGCCCACAGTTTTCTCTAAGGGACAGCTCTGTGGCCCTGCCACCAGTCGTGTTATCTGCATAGGAGATGCTCTCAGTGGAGGTGAGGATTTTAGCCCATCAGGAGACTCTCACAGTGAACTCATGGTTGGCAAGTGAATGAGAGTTCTCCTAGGGCAGCTCAACAGCTCTTGCTGAGTGTCAGCACTGGCATGGAATGGCACTGGGGGCTATGTGGACAGGGCAGGGGCAGCCCTGTTCCTGTGCTGGTGTTGGTCCCTGGCGGGAACGAAGAAGGGAAGCTGCTGGGCAGAATGACTGGGAGAGAAGTCCTCTGGGGCCTCAGCAAGACTCAGATGGCACTGCCTTTGCCACCCAAGCTCTTCGTCTGGGGATCCCAGGTGTAGCCCTGTTGCGTCTCATGGAGAAAAGCAATTTAGTTGCTCATGGAGAGAGGCAGTGGTGGGGAAGGTATGAAATCATGATGTTTGCGTTCATTGGGAGGACATTTTATATGGGTTGCATTTATCATGTTTACTCCTTTGTCTTTTTTTCTTTCTCTTTTGTAACAAAAAGATATTGTTGTCTCGTGGAGTAGACAGCGAGGATGATGAAAACATTTCTGATCAAGATGGGTCTCCAGGCTCACCTCTCACACCACAACCAAAAGGTAAAAAGAAAACTGTAACCCATTTTTACAAAATATAAGAGTATTTTGCGGTGATGAATATTTTTAGGAAAGTATAACTATTGTAGCTCCTTACTGTGGCTCTGTGATTTTAACTAGGAATATAGTTGACATTTATTTTTTCTGAACATAAGGCATTCCACAATTGATTGCCTGGATGTTAGGTTGTCTTTAAAGCCCAAGGCTGTCAGTTTTGAGCCTCTGCTTGCCGGCACCTCGTGCTCCTCAGAATGCTGAGGGAACGTCTGTGCAGCTCACCATGGTAGACCCAGAGCCCAGGCAGGGCCTGGCACACAGTGGGCTGCCAGGAAAGGCTTGTTGGATGTGTGAATGCATGGACCTGTATGTAGTCTGTTTATCACGATGAGAGAATTCAGCGCAGTATAGCAAAGGTAGAAGCAGTTTTTGTTTCCTAAGAACTGGCCTACATTTGGGAGGTGAGGAGGAGAACTGGGCAGAGCGTGGATAGCCAATATTGTCAGGACCCTCAGAATGACTTGGGCTCAGGGAAACTTTTATGGAAATCATTTCACAGGAAAACCGAATGCCAGCCTAGTAGTCCCTGGGCCAGAAAGCACCTGTTGCTCACTTGTCCTATTTTTTAACATTACTTTTTAACATTACATTCACTTAAAAAGTTTCTCTGTACTCCTGTAGATAATTATTTTTCACAGTTTAGAGCATGTATGTGTATAAAATACATGCAATTTTGTTACCTACCTTGTTTTCATCTCACAACACGTCCTGAATTTCGTCATCCATCCACACGTGTGGCTCTCTCCTTCCTTCTCTGACATCTGTGTTGTGTGGCCTGATGTGGCACATAGCAGGCAGGATCCAATCAGGAGACAGAACACACATGGTGACTTGAAGAGGCAAAATTTAATTTAAAGAATGACTCATTATAACAGGACTGAGAGCCGGGCATGGTGGCGTGGGCCTGTAGTCCTAGCTCCTTGGGTGGCTGAGGTAGGAAGATTGCATGAACCCAGGAGATTCAAGGCTGCAGTGAGTTAAGATTGCACCACCGCACTCCAGCCTGGGCAACAGAACGAGACCCTGTCTCTAAAAAAAAAGTTAAGACAGGATTGCCTGCTAAGGGGTAAAGAAGAGGACACACAGGAGTGCAGGAATAGCGGACAGAGGGAACAGCCCCTGTCTCCAGGGCTGACACTGAGCTTGTGAATGTGGAAAAGCCTTACCCAGAACTGGGATCCGGACCTTGGAGGTAAGGGTATAGCTATGGCCCCCCAGCTATGGCCGGAAACGCTGCCCTGATGAAATTTACTGGGAAGCTGCCTACTCTGGGAGGGTGCCAGGAGAAGCCACTCATGGGGAGGTGCTGCACGTTGCTGGCCATTAAAACCGAAAATTAAAGAAAAAGAAAGAGGAAAAAAAGAAAGGAGCCGAAGTTGGTGGTGTAGACCTATGGTCCCAGTTCCTTGAGAGGCAGAGGTGGGAGGATCACTTGAGACCAGGAGTTCAAGTCCAGCCTGGGCAGCATAGCAAGACTCTGTCTCTAAAAAATAAAAATTAGAAGAAAAAATTTGAAAAAGAAAAGAATGGATCAGCATCTCCTCTGCGCCCTCCACTGATAAAGCTCGTCATCACACCCATTGGCAAGCATTGGAGGTGGATTTGGGGCCAAGGGCCAGTGACCCCCACATACTTGGGAGCATGAACTTGGAGCATAGATTGGAGACCTACCTAGGCAACATAGTGAGACCTCGTCTCCACAAAGAAATCCAAAAATTAGCTGGGCATGGTGGTGTTTGCTTTATGTCTGAGCTACTCGAGAGGCTGAGGCGGAAAGATCACCTGAGCCCAGCAGGTTGAGGCTGTGGTAAGCCATGATCATGCCACTGCACTCTGTGCTGGACAAGAGTGAGAACCTGACTCCAAAAAAAAAAAGCAATAAGATCTGATGTAGTGTGTAGGATGCCAAATCGAGACTGTTTTGAAAGTGTTATGACAAATGTGAATTTTTTCTTGTTGTATCCCTTTAAACATTTGCTCATTCGAAATTCGTTCCGCACATGCCAAGTGCCAGAGGCAGCAGAGTCACAGGCCCCTTCCCAGTCACTCCGGATGCCGAGGAGTAGGTGCAGGTGGCAGACTGCAGTCTGAGGCAGGCAGCAGAGACGGCACCAAGGTGGGAGCAGGTAGCAGGGAGAGGAGGTGTCATTCAGCTTGACCAGAAGGACAGGGTGGGGTTTCACCAGGTGACAAACACACAGAAGCCGTCCAGGCTGCCCCTGGACATTGACCAAAAGGAGCTGGGTTAAAAACAGTTGATCAAGATGACTTTTTGGCCAAAAACAAGCTGTTCAGTGATTAGTTGTTCATGTATTGGTAATTTTAATCAACTAGGAAGTAAAGTTAGAATCTTGTATGCAGCTTCAGCATTTTCTTCTGCTTTCTGAATTCTATAGGGTTCCCCCCTGTTTCTTGTACATGTTTCTAATTTATTTTTAGCCAATTATTTCTGCTCTGAAAATTAATAGTAGAAAGTTAAAAGCAACCCAGATGTCCAGCTTTTTGCTAGACCAGAGCGTATGTATGGGCAAGCTTGGGTGTAAGATCTCCCTTCTCAGGGTACCTGAGTTGCAGATGTGTGGAAAGTGTGGAATAGCAGGGCTTGTTTTTCTCTGTGTTGCCAAGAGAGTGTATTTCAGGCACAGCTGTTTTTCGGATCAAGTTGGAGGCTGCTTCCAGACAGGGCAGGCAGAGAGCCGTCGAGCCGTGGCCCACGTGGGGTGCTGGGCAAGCGTGGAGAGTGAGCATGAGGGGTGGGCATGGGAACGTGGGACAAGCAGCACGGGGAGGGCTCAGTGCCGTGCTGTGGAGTCTGGCTTTGGTTCTGCGATCCCATGAGCCACGACGGTGCCCAGGAGTGAGCAGGAGAGAGGGGAGCAGTTCGGTCAGGCACCCCCTGGCCCTGGCCCACACCCACCTGACCTTGTGAAGTTCATCCCTGTCCCGGGCATGGTCAGCTCCTCCGAGGAAGGTGAGTTTCTGTGAGTGTGTTCCTCGGAGTTGTCAGAGTTCATCACCTGTGTTAAAAGTCTCTCTCTCTCTCTCTCTCTCTCTCTCTCTCTCTCTCTTTTTCTTCATCAGATAATAAACACTCTGTTCTGAATTTAAAGGTAAGTTTTTAAAAAATAAACTTATTTTCTCAATAAATAGAGTTTTCATCTTAATTTTTCAACAATTTTTGTGATTTGCAGGGGAAAAGAAGTCTTTCCTTAAGAGTTCTTTTCTGTTGAATATTTCTTTTAAATAAATACTTTAAAGCATGAGGAATATCATACTTTCTATAGTTTAATAGTGAAAGCAATGTATTGAAGAGTTAGAAACCACTTACATAATTTGTAGAATGAACAGACTAATTAGACAAATTAATAACTAATTTGTAGACATGGAAATAGTTCTAACTTAAGTTTTTCATTGTGCGATGTCATAGAAACAAGAATTAAACATTTCTCAGGAGAGTTAATTTATAACCTTACCTACTTTTTCAGCAGAAATTAGAAACTTAATAATCACACTGATGTGTAAGGAAAAATTAACAAAGGCTCAAAGCTTTTCCTTTCCTCTAAGTTTGGGATTGAGAAGTCAGAACCTCACTAATATTCTTTGCTGAGCATTTTGGAAACATGCTTCCCGGCAGCCGATGGGTCCTTTTTGCTTATCTCAGTGAGAAAGGCCTGACTGGAGACAGCCTTGTGCCTCTCTGTTCAGCCTTGCAGCCCTGCCACATGCTGTCCAACATGAACTGGCAACCTGTCACTCATGGGAGCTGCATGGAAATTAGAGGTCCCTGAACTCACAAGCAGAAAGCTCAGACAGGACTTCCCTGCTGCCCCACGGAACTCAAGAGGGGCAGGCCCCTAAGGTCTAAGATCCTGTTGTAAGAAACAGTGGATATTAGAGTCTCTAAAGCCGAAATAAACTAAGCACAACAGCCAAAACGGAGGACATAGTGTGCTGGTACACCCGAGGTCTAGTGACCTGGCTGCTGTGTCCTCTCTAGCACAGGCCAAGACTTCTCACTCATTCCTCTCACGTTTTTTCTTCCCTAGGATGAAAAACCGCCGCTATGTAAAAAACCTCCACCATCCCCAGGTATTTGCCTTTTGAATTTCATTATGATTGAAAAGCTCATAGTTTTAGAGAACACTCAGAATAATCTCATCTGAAAATGAGATGCTTCCTCTGTTACTGAAATTGGGAAGAGGGTTAATTGTTGAATCCCCACCTTTGCTTCAAAATAGAGGGTCCACACACTGGGTGGTGGGTCAGTTTAAGTGGAGTGTGCATGGAGCACTGGGGGGTGGACCTGTGGGATATGCTTAGACTCCCAGTGGGCAGGCTGGTACAAATGAGGGCCAATGGCAGAGTGAGAGCTGGAGAGGCCTGTGGGTTATACCCCTCTGGAGTGTGGGGAGTGACCGTGGCTTCCAGATTGGCTTTTATCATTTCTGCTATTGTTACTCATTAGTCTGAAAACCCTCTTTTAAGTCTGTGCTCACTGTGGGGTTGACTTTCTTTTCTTTCTTTTTTTTTTTTTTTTTTAAGTTAGAGTCTCACTCTGTCCTCCAGACTGGAGTGCAGTGGCCACTCCCGGTCACCGCAGCCTCGACCTGCTAGGCTCCGGCGATCCTCCCGCCTCAGCCTTCCAAGCAGCTAGAAGGATTAAATAGGCACGCACTACCACACCCGGCTAATTTTTTGATTTGTTGTAGAGATGAGGTCTCGCCAAGTTGTCCAGGCGGGTCTGGAACCCACAGGCTCAGGCAATCGACTCGCCTCAGCCTCCCAAAGCGCTGGAAATACAGGCTGAGCCACCAAGCCCCATTTTCACCCTTTCAATCTTGTTGCTTTTAGGACTGTCTTCTGGGAGATTGCTGGGCTGCTGGCTGCTAGCCCACAGGTCCCTTCTTCATTATGTATTTTCTGCTGTCCAGCCCATCCTTTGAAGTTTTTGTCAGTCAAAGTGTTCGCTTCCATGATTTCTGTGGGCTATTGACTGCAGTCCCTCTGAACATCCTGTCTACACTCAGCCCAGTTTTGGCGTTTGTGCCGAGGCCCCTTTGTCCTCTTTGTTTGGCTCAGGTCTTTGTGCTTCTTGGCCTTGAGAGTTCCTGTTGGTCCATTTCCCCGTGGGAGATGCTGTATTTGTTTACTGCAGGCTGCTTGGAGAGGAGAAACAAGCTGTGTGGCCAGACCGGCCGTACAGCCTGTCTTCCAGTGACTGGTGGGACGGGCTGGACGTGTGGCCAGCGAGGATCCGGGGCCCCCTTTTCCTCCTGACCTTCTCCAATGCCCCAGCCTGCCCAGGCTCTTTGAACCTGTCAGGGCCTGTTGTACTGCCTGCTGAGAGGCACGTTTCTGCTCTCAGCCTGACCCAGGCAGGCTGACCCCTTGCTGCTCCACTCTGGTGCTCTAGCGGACACCTCCTCAGCTTATGCAGGCCACTTCATGTCCCATTCCTACCAGGGCAAGGCCTATCCCAGGAGCCGCTCCTGCCTTTTGTGGCTGCCCTCTCCTGGCACGTTGGAGGCTGTGGCTTTCGTCTTCCATCTAGTCTCAACTGTCCTCTCTCTGGCATTCCTCAGGGCTCCCTTCGTGTTCTGTGCAGCTGTGGAGTTACCCCATTCTTAGCCTTCCCTCCACGTCCTAGGGACTGGTACGTGTATGTCAGGGGCCAGGCCAGGCTTTCCAGAACCACCAGCTTTCTGTCTTTGTCTGCCCACAGAAGGGGGCTTGTTGGCACTTCACCCCCTTGACCTCTCTGACTGAGCATGTCTCCCCATGGAACACACTCTGTTTTCCACCAACCTTTCTTGCTATTCCCTGTCGAAATCCTTCGTGACCTCTGTTTTCCCATCTCCCTGGTACCTTCAGGCACTGCCCATGGGCTGGTGGCTGGTCAGTCTCGCCAGCGGAGACTGCCTGTGGGGTGTAGACCTGTGTCCTGTCCCGGCTGCCTCCTCTCCTCTTTAGTGCCCTCGTCGGCTCTCTGTGTTGTGTCCTGGTCAGGGTGAGTGTTTCTGACACAGACCCAGGCACAGAGCTAGGTGGCTTCCTGACTTGCTCCTCTCACGGCCCATACCAGCCAGCCATAGGTCTTGTTGGGTTCCAGCCCCCAAACCCTTCTCTCATGTTTCCTCCTCTCTGTCCCTACTTTAGCCTCTGGGCTGGGCCTCATTCCAGTCTGCTTCCTTCCCTGCCAGGCTATGGGATTCATCTGAGAGTCGAGCCGCTTCACCCTCACACCTCTGCTGAACGCCTTTCTGGAGGTCAAGCCCTCACTCCACATCCCGGTGTGCGGGGGCTCCTCTGACCCCTGCTCCTCATGGCCTCTTCCTGCTGCTCGCCCTCGTCCCACCAGGCCACTCACTCTCGCCTGCATGAGCGTTCCCTTCCCAGGGACGGAAGAATACCACACCAGGCCTGATGTGAAGTCCTCACAGGGTTTTGGAATAAAACCTGAAGTGATTTGGGGTTAACACTGTAAATGTCCATGGGTAGTCTTAAACTTTTCCCCTATACTTTTGCAGATATAACTGGCAGAGCACTTCAAAGATTTACAGAAATAACCAAAGAAAAGTTTGAAGAATTAAAAGAGGAAAATTTGCATCTGAACAATACAAATCAAACCCTTATCCTTGAATTGAACATAATGAAACAAGCCATGAAAGAACTACAGTTAAAACGGAAGAGAATGGAAAAAGAGAAGGGAAGGCTGAAGGAGGCTGAGAAGACGGCAGCACAGGAAGGTGGGGACAGTGCTTTCATGAAAAGAATAATGAGCAGGGCCGCACTCACTTATTATGTCTTGAGAGTTGACACTTTATGTTGTGATACTTGTTGATACTTTCTGTTGTCGTATTTAAGCTCTTTTGTTAATATCTGTATATTCGTTGACATTTTATTTCAACTACTCTGTAATTATTATCATTATACTAAGGGAATTCCAGCACTTCTTTAGGAACTTGATGCTTACCATAGTGTCTTACATATGTGTCATGTAAGTGTTTTTTTCCTTGAATTAAGAAAGGCCAGTTTGTTAAAGAGAAGATACAACGGGCAGAACAGTAGCAAGAGTGTCTGCTGTCTGCTGCCTCATATTAGTTTTTATCCCCATGAGCAGCATATGAAAGCGCCTCTTTTATCACCGGTGATGAGGATTCAATTTTCCTTGCTAATTCGTTAGACAAAAAAGAAAGAAACGACATTTTAATTTATATTTATTTTACTATTGATGAGCTTGAATTTTTTTTTCATATCTTTGCAAGTCATCTTCTTTTCTCTTTCATAAGTGGCCCACTTTAAAGTGAGAAACTTGTTTTTTGCTTACTGATTAGCAGGAACTCTTTACATACAAAGGATTTTAGTCCCTTTGTCATGTGTATACTATTTTTTAGTTGTGGATAATTTGGCCAAATTTATAAGATGTTTTTCTTTTATGACTTATGCCCTGGTTTCAGTCTTTTTAAATCTGAGGTTATATAAATATTCATCTATATATATATATATTTTTTTTTCTTTATTTTAAAGATGTGGGGTACAATTCAGGGTTATGTATACAAATGTTCATTATGCAGGCATCATCAATATGTTTTATATTCTCTTTTCTACATATATAAAACTGATAATATGGCCTTAAGTAAAGTGATGTTAATTTTCTTCATATAGGCTCTGCATAATTCTTGTCTTAGGTATATTTATTTCCAAATGCTGTATGTTACTTGTGCTGTTTCTTTGAAGGATCTGTTTTCTATTTTGCTTTCTATTATGGACATTGCTGTTATATGGGAAGGTTATTAGTTCTAATACACTTTTCATTTATTCTATATGAGTTTTCAAAGCACATATTTTTATGTCATCTAAAACAGTGACTACTCCTTTCCAACTTAAAAATTTTATTTTACTTTATTGTACATGAAAAACTTCCACAAACTTCCAATATAATCTTGACTATTCAATGCTAAAAAATCTTCATAACTTGTATTTATTTGCAGCAATATATATATATGTATACACACACACACACACACACACACATTGCCTCTCTGGGCCTAAAAGGGGGAAAAAAGCAAATGATTAGCAATTTATGTAAAATCTTGCTAAATTTGATATCATCTCTTATAGTATAATGTTAAATTGATTTTTTCACTAGTTGCTACTCCTGAATTGCTTTATTTACGAAAACAAGCTCAAGAACTGGTGGATGAAAATGATGGGCTGAAAATGACTGTCCATCGTCTGAACGTAGAACTGAGTCGCTATCAGTCAAAATTCAGACATTTGTCCAAGGAAGAGGTAATGTTTCCAATCTTGAAATTAGACTTTCTGGCTGTTTTTAGACTTTCTGGCTTTACTGTTGAATTGATTTCCAATCAAAAGAGGTTCTTATTTATTATAATTTAATATTAAAAAAGGCATTTCCAAAGAATAGTCTTTCTAGGGACCATTCTCCCTCCCTTCCTCCCTCCTTCCTTCTTTCCTTATAACAAAGGCATAAAGAAAAACGTTGGGACAATGGAGAAGTATATAAAGTAAAAGAGTAAAGAGTCCATGTTAGCTGCTTCATTGTGCCAGTGCACAAACTCTGAACAATAAGTAGATGAGTTTTTACTTATAAAAATGATTGCAGAATTCAGTTCCACAAACTCTTACTGAGCAAGTCACTGTATTGGATGCTGTGAGATATACAAGATGAACCAGATGGTCGGCCCTTGCTCTGAGAGAACTTGGGCATGCGAGGGACTTGTGAGTACAGGAGGAGGATGCGCAACTGAAGGATCTTTGCTGTGGTCCAGACAGGGGGAAGCCACGTGCACACGGTGTTCTCAGGTCTTTCCTAGGAGTTCAGGGCCTCATGGGCTTCTGAGTTTCTTTTTGAAGGAGAGTTTAGGTTTAACTTTTTCAAATAACAGCTTTGAGATATAACTCACATACCATTCAATTCATGCCCATTTAAAAAATCAGACTGAGTGCAGTGGCTCATACCTGTAATCCCAGCACTTTGGGAAGCCAAGGAGGAAGGATTGCTTTAGCTCAGGAGTTTGAGACCTGCCTGGGCAATGTAGCGAGACATCCACCTCTCTCTCTCTCTCTCAAAAAAAAGAATATATAAGACTTTACATTTCAGAGGAAGTATAGTTTAATTTGCTTTTGATATGTTTTGTTCTTAGAGTTTAAATATTGAAGGCCTCCCGTCAAAGGGCCCTGTACCACCCTGGTTGGTAAGTGAAAGTTATTAAATTTCAGGCCTGTATTCCCATGGGTATATTTGCATAGCTACTAAAAACCATTTGAAAAAGTGTATTTCTTGCCTTTAAAAAAATGTGCCGACCAGTCTCGGTGACTCAACCTGTAATCCCAGCACTTTGAGAGGATGAGGCGAGTGAATTGCCTGAGCCCCTGGGTTCGAGAACAACCCAGGCAACTTGGTGAGACCTTGTCTCTACAATAAATCAAAAATTAGCCAAGTGCAGTAGCACGCGCCTGTAGTTCCAGCTACTTGGAAGGCTGAGCCCAGCAGGTCGACGCTGGGGTGGCTGTGAGCGTGCCACTGTACTCCAGCCTGGGCAACAGAGTGAGACTCCAACTCAAAAAAAATGCTAATTATATTTAGATATGAGAAATCTATTAACCCTCTTTTACTCCGTCATCTTCAGTTGGATATAAAATACCTGTCACGGCTGCTACTGGCTTACGAAGATACGATGAAAGAGAAAGAAGAGCTCAATGCCACCCTCAAGGTAGGCTGGCCAGTGTCTCAGAAGAGACAGGGTGATACAAAGTGAACTATTTTAAATGTTTCAGATGCATTTTGAAGGTGGGTATCCCAACATATTGTAGGTGACCAAGTGTTTGTTAAAAGAAGGGAAGGAGGAAGGAAAGAAGTTTGTGGCAGGATGAGAGGGAGGGCGAGAGGGAAGGAAGGAAAAGGGGAGGAAGTAGGGGAATGATTGGCAGAGTGGGAGGGTGGGAGGGAGAGTGGGGAGGTAGGTGTGGAGGGCCAGGGCTTGCTGTGTTGGAAGGTGGGCCTTGTGTGCTGGGACCTCGGGGCGCAGCGAAGGCAGCAGTAGGGATGCCGTTCTCACCTGTTTCTCTGCAGCTGCAGATACCAACGTTGGGAGGGACGTTGGACAGGCAGGGGGAGGGAACTGGCCAGGCGTGTTTCAGGCAAACTTAAATGCTTCTTAATTCTAGGAAGAGCTGACTCCGCAAAGTCCAATTACTGAGCTGTTGGAAGTGGGTAGTGAGGTTGTTCCATCATGTCTGCTTTGTTCCCTGTCTCATGGGAGTGGCTCCATGTGCCTTCCATGCTGCAGACTTCTGGGTTCCTCTTTTAAGTGCCAAATGGGTCTTAAAAAGGATTCAGAAAGAAGGATTCAGAAAGAGAAATGTTGGTTGTTAAGGGATTCCAAGTTAAAAGGGTCCTTAAGAGTCTCCCAGCCTGTTCTTCTTCAGTCGTGCTGTTCCATGTACATGTCCTATGTAATATAATTTTTTTTTTTCCTTGAGCCGGGATCTCACTGTATCACCCAGGCTGGAGTGCAGTAGCACAGTCGCGGCTCATTGCAGCCTCGACCTCCTGGACTCAGAAAATCTTTATGTCTTAGCTTCCTGAATACCGGAGACTATAGGTATGCACTGCCATGCCTGGCTATTTTTTTTTTTTTGCAGAGACAAGATCTCATTATTTTGTTCAGGCTGGTGTTGTACTCCTGGGCTCAAGCAATCCTCCCACCTTGGCTTCCCAAAATGCTGGGATTACAGGCATGAGCCAGTGCACGCCTGACCGTGTAATGTCATTTTGAACCTTTTCTTCTTAGACTTAATTATTGAACACTTACTTTTCTGAAAGCATGAATTGGTCTTATACTAATTGATTGTCTATCAATCCTAATGATTAATAAAATTACTATTTTGTTGCTCTTTCTAAATCAGGGTCAGCATACTTTTTCTGTAAAGGGCCAGTTAATACATATTTTAGGCTCTGTGGGCCATGCAGTTTTTGTTTGCAGCTCTTCAGCTCTGCTGTTGCAACATGCAAGCAACCATAGATAACATGTAAACAGTGTGAGGCAGTGTTTAATAAAGCTTTAATTACAAAAACAGGCAGCTGGTCCACAGGCTTTGGTTTGCCTGATCCCAGAAAAGAGTCAAGTGGATACCTAGCAGTGAGTGGGTGTGTCTGGGCATAAAGGTGAGAGGAGAAGAAGTTATTTGACAATGCTGCTTTGGGTAAACAGTCACAAGCACGTGTATCTGAGAGCAGGGCGAAAAAGCCTCTAGAAGCATACCAGAATGAATATTAGGACCTCAGCTTCTCCCCAAATGACAGCACAAGACACTGGAGCTGGCTAAGGGCTGGCTGAGAAAAGCCTGGTGGAGAAGTCCCAGCTGAAGTATCACAAACAAGACTGATAAGAACCGAAGACAGACACAGGCTGTTAGGAGTCAAAACAGACAGAACTGCAGGTCTCGTGCTGGGGCCAGTGGCCCATGAAGCTCAGTGGGCTGATGACTCAAATAAGAAAGGTCTTCTCATGGTTGTCATGGAGCAAAATGAGGAGCCTCACCCCTTCAGTAACCCCTTCCCTTCCAAATCTGGCTGTAGTTAAGGATGAAGAGTTGTGTTTTTATATTAAAAATTCCAATTCATTTACCAAAGTCTTTAAACAAAAGACAAATGACTGTGGCATCTCTGCTTTTTAAAATCCTCCTTTTAAACTTTTCTATTTAGCAGTTATAGAAATTGTTATCCAATCAGGAATTAAGTATTTAAAGCCCAGGGTTTTGCCCCGTGTACTGAGGTTCCAGCTGTCTGTGCTTTCTCAGTGGACTGTAGGCTTCCCGCGATCTGGAAGTGCGGCTGGTACTGACAGTTTAAGGTGGTGCTGCTGTGAGACTTTGCTAAGTGCCTGTTACCATTTGATTCTAACCACAGCAACAGCACTGGAACTAAGAAATATAGATGTGTGTGTTACATTTTACATAAATTTTATTTCAGGAGGAAATGAGAATGTTTAGGATGCGAGTCCAAGAAGTGGTGAAAGAAAATGAAGAATTGCACCAACAGTTAAATAAGAGTAGTCCTGTGACCACTGAAGAATGGCAAGTGGCTTTGTGTTTCTGATATTTTGCCAATTTAAAACAAAGGATAAGTCGGGCTCGGTGGCTCAGCCTGTAATCCTGCGCCTTTGGGAGGCTGAAGTGAGTGGATTGCCTGAGCCGGCGGGTTCGAGACCCGCCTGGGCAGCGAGACCTCATCTCTACAATAAATCTAAAAATCAGCCGGGTGTGGTAGCGCATGCCTGTAATTCCGGCTGCTCAGAAGGCTGAGGAGGAAGGATCGCCGGAGCCCAGCAGGTCGAGGCTGCGGTGGCTGGGAGCGGCCACTGCACTCCAGTCTGGGCGACTGAGTGAGACTCCAACTCAAAAACAAACAAACAAACAAAGGATAATAGGAAAAACTGTATGAAAATATCAAGTACATTTTCTTTTTTAACTCAACTATTTTAAGGAAGAGCTTCTAAGAAATTAATAAAGTACAATAAAATCCTGGTAAAATATTGTAAACTTGTATTTTAAGGATGACTTTAAAAATTCTAGCCGGGCTCGGTGGCTCAGCCTGTAATCCCAGCACTTTGGGAGGCTGAGGTGAGTGGATTGCCTGAGCCCACGGGTTCGAGACCCGCCTGGGCCACTTGGCGAGACCTCATCTCTACAATAAATCAAAAATCAGCCGGGCGTGGTAGCGCGCGCCTGTAGTTCCAGCTACTTGGAAGGCTGAGGCGGCAGGATCGCCGGAGCCCAGCAGGTCAAGGCTGCGGTGGCACTCCAGTCTGGGTGACAGAGTGAGACTCCAACTCAAAAATAAATAAATAAAAAATAAAAATTCTAAGTAGGCCAGGCTCAGTGGTTCAGCCTGCACGTCAAGAACCAAGGCGAGTAGATTGCCTGAGACTGTGAGTTTAAGACCAGGCCGGGCAATGTGGTGAGACCTTGTCTCTACAATAACTCAAAAATTAGCCAGGTGTGGTAGCGCGTGCCTGTAGTTCTGGCTACTTGGAAGGCTGAGGCAGAAGGATCGCTGGAGCCCAGCAGGTTGATGCTGGGGTGGCCGTGAGTGTGCCACTGCACTCCAGCTTGGGTGACGGAGTAAGACTCTGACTCAAAAAAAAAAAAAAAAATTCTAACTAGATCCTCATATCTGAAATATTGCTGCTTTTCCTTTTTCATTTGCTGAAGTGGTGTTTTTCTAGGGCAATTTTCCCGTTGCAAACCCGGCGAGTCACATTCTTGCTTAGGTGCCTCCCGTGACTCCCAGGGTTTGAGAACTGAAAGCTCAACATAAGCTCAGCTGGAAGCCCCACAACCACTTGGGGCTGCCTTTCCCTGTCGATTCCCTGGTGGCCACGGCGGCCCCACTCCTGTCCTGTCTCCCCAGAATTTCCCTTCTGCCCCTCTCGCCCTTCACTGCCCTGCTTGCGTGGTGACTGTCGGTAGCACTCGCTGTCTCTGTTTCTCACATAGCCCTAAACACGCGTCCTGTCCTGGAACCTGCCACGCTGCACCTGCCTGTCCTTGTGAGCGCTCAAGGACCCTGTCTCATCGATCCTTGTGTGTCACCCACGTCTAGCATAGCAGCCATAAATGTCTGCTAACTGAATCAGAGAAAGTAAATGTCTTGAAAAGTCTGAAGTCCCATCCAGGCAAGACGAAGGAAACAGCAAAAGCACTGGGGTAGGCGTGTCATACTTAGTATTTTTATTTATTTATTTATTTTTTGAGTTTTGGAGTCTCACTCTGTCACCCAGACTGGAGTGCAGTGGCCGCTCCCGGCCACCGCAGCCTCAACCTGCTGGGCTCCGGCGATCCTTCCGCCTCAGCCTTCCAAGTAGCCGGCACTATAGGCGTGTACTACCATGCCCGGCTAATTTTTTGATTTATTGTAGAGAAGAGGTCTTGCCAAGTTGCCCAGGCTGTTCTCGAATCCTTAAGCTCAGACAATCCTCTCATCTTGGCCTCCCAAAGTGCTAGGATTACAGGCTTGAGCCACCACTCCTGGCCACTTAGTATTTTTTTAAATGTCTTAACATTATTAAAAAATGAAATATTTTCCATATGTGATGTTCAGAAATCCAGAATTGTGTCAACCACACTTGTACTGTTAGGTTGGTTATCCCTGATTCTGTGGTAGGGATTGGCCTGGGCAGCTACCAGACCTAGCTACACTGTGACCTCCCTTATTGAACTTGGATTTTTTTTTTTTTTTTTTTTTTTTTTGAGTTGGAGTCTCATTCTGCCCAGACTGGAGTGCAGTGGCATGCTCACAGCCACCCCAGCGTCAACCTGTTGGGCTCAGGTGATCCTTCTGCCTCAGCCTTCCAAGTAGCTGGAACTATAGTCGCATGCTACGATGACTGGCTAATTTTTTGATTTATTGTAGAGATGAGGTCTCGCCAAGTTGTCCAGGCTGTTCTTGAACCTGTAGGCTCAGGTAATCCTCTCACCTCGGCCTCCTAAAGTGCTGGGATTACAGGCTTGAGCCACCACATCCGGCCCAACATGTGAGTCTTGAGAGCTTAAGTGGCTTTCTTTTTTTTTTTGAGTTGGAGTCTCACTCCGTCA